CATGAAGCTTAAGAGATTAATTAACATACTCCATGGTAATATCCAACGGAAGCGCCTTTACGAAAGAAGTATTCCTCATTCGCACGGTCAAGAATATGAGCCAACGGCAAGAACGAGAGATACACATCGTCAGGTGTCATCTGACAGTAGGACACGTCATTTTAAGCCCAAGAAAAAAAACAGAGAATTAGTCAAAAAGAAACAAATGATTTAGCGAGACATCATCATTTAATGTTAATCACTTGTATGTATATTAATAAAGCAGAAGTGAACATTATATTTAAGATTGATTTTCATTGTTCAATGAAGTGGTAACTATTCATATAATCTTATCGTAATAGTGTTTCTTGAAATTGACGGACAAATGATTGAGAAGTCGTCACCTTGTCTTCAAACTGGTCCATAAAGAGATCTGCCCCTATAACGCAAGTCGCGGCAGCTTCGTGGGTCAAAACAACACCTTTAGGTTCACCGCTCGTGCCGCTCGTGTACATTATGGTGCACACGTCAGACGGCTTAGGCGGCTTTATCTCTTCCGGCTTCTCTCGTCCCTGGTCAAATAGCCAACAAAATTTGTTTTTATCATATATTCCAAATGTCTGAACGTAGGGCACTTAAATCATTTATTTCTCTATACGTATAAAGCAAACGCATTATTTCGTCAAGTTGGTTTAACATGTGCGTATCATTAAATACCTAGAAATAGTAAAAAAATGTCAGATCATTTACTATATATAAGGTTTGTAATAATGTAAAATGCATTATCATCATGTATCAAATTATACAAAGAGATGACGAACCATAAGAAGAAAATCGAGCCACGAGTATGCTTTCACTCCAATTTCTGAGGCCTTATGGCTCTGTTCTTCGCTCACATTTGTGAAGGAAACTATAGCTTTTAGTTTTTTTGCACTTATGCAATCCGGCTCAAGAAGCTAAATTTTAAAAGCATACAAAAAAAGGAGAGTTCGATCAATGTTAACATCAGTAAATAAAATTTCAAAAAGTATAGTTTAACTGATGAAATTCATCTCAAAGATCTTAACTCCTTGAATCTTGGTGTTCTGAACGAACACAAAATCGATTTCCGCGTGATCAACGATATAGTCAACTGCTCCGGGACCTGATGAACATCGGATGCAAACAATTCCTTTGAGTCGCATTATTGAGTGTTTATGTCACGAAAGTGTGCATGGTCAAAAGTAAATAAGATCTAACGTACCCAATGTATCATATAGAGGTACACAGATTAGAGTGTGAGCTGCACAAGCCTAAATATGTTCACAAAGATGCATGTGTATATAATTCTTGTTAGATCTTGACTTCAGAAATTTTAATTCAGAGAAATATTTATTAGAAATAAGATGAACCTCCATTGCTATGATCCACTGAGGACAGTTAGCTCCATAGATCCCCACTCGACACCCCTACATGTACGCATAGACATTAGTCCATTCTGTTTCGGTGCAAAGTTATATATAATAATGAGAGGATTTTGAAAAAAAAAAACGTAAATATAAAGTTTTCACAGGTTCAGCTCCGGCGGCTCGTAGCGCAGAGCCAATCTGCCGAACTTCTTCATATACTTCCTTGTACGTTTTCCACATATACGGTCCAACCTAACCAATCCATACAAATATACGTTTTAATATCTACACATAGAAGTTTATTCTAAAAACCATAAGTTATACCATAATGGTTTGTGTATTATTGTTCTTGATGTGTTACAATCCAGTAAAATACAGTTTGTTGAGGAAAAAAAATGTTTAATCGACATATATATCTCATTTTTCTTAGTATGGGAATTTTGAGAATTTCACCTTCTCATCGACAATTTGACGCCATCCAAGCATCTTGTTATCAGGGAATTTTTCTACTGATTTACTAACAAAATGAAAAAGAGATTTAATTAATAACAAGGAAACAACAAATTTTAAGAAACTACAAAGGATGCCATATGATATTATAAGAAAAGAAAACCTGAAAATGTCCCACGTAGTGGTGATATCAGAATGACGAGGAGGAAAGCCATTCTCCGACAAAAGATTCCGGTACACCGGACCTACCGATGGCTTCCCATCTTCCCCTTTAACTCCTTCTTCCACCTTTGCCGCGAAAGACTTCATTCTCTCTTTCTCCATTTTGTTTTCTTCCTTTGGAGAGAAACTCTGAAGCTAATTTTTATATATATAATAGAAATGAAAATAAAAGATAGAAGAACCATAAATGTAAGATGAACCCGGTAGTTAATATATGAAGATATAGCACTGCCCGAATTGATGATGGTTCAAATCTTAAGAACAAAAAGTGAATAGAATAAGAGAGTCGCTAATTAAAGGATATACAACTTGGTTACGAAATGAGGGAATTTATCCTAGTTTTGTCTTTTTATTAAACAGCAGAATTTATCATACTTTTGCATTTTCGTAAAATTTTATGATTTGTGAAACATACATAATCGTGAATCGAAAACAGAAGTTTCAGTATTATTATAGGCATAAATTAAATAAAACTGTTTATAATAAATTATGCATTTATTGTCACCAGTCCGGTACACCTAACCATTCTGAGTAGAAAACCAAAGAGGATAACAGATATATAATGCATTTTTCGTAAAATTATGATCTATTGAAAATACGTAATTTTATAATTAATATTACTAATCAGAATCGTTGAGGTTTCATTAGTTAATCAGTGACAGCTCTCTGCTGGCGTCTTCCGTACTTTTAGTGTACAGCACTCTGCTTAACGTATTATGTACTTCCACTTAATATAATTACAATATACATAGATTAAAACTATACAGTATTATAATTTCATTAACAGAATGGCATTCAGTCTGATGTAGTTTCTAGCTTTTTCTAAGGTTGGAATCAGACTTTAACAGTGGAAGTCTCATTAAAGTCAAATAATAAGATATGAAACCCAAAAGGCTTTCTAAACCATTAATATAACATTCGTTACGTCGTGGGCCGTTGGAGATAGATGTGATGGAAATAACTAGAGACTTAGAGATACATACATTAAATGAAGAAAAGGAAAAATAACAAATTATGATGTAAACGGTCATGCTCATACAACATAGAAGTAAACATATACAACATAGAAACTAAAACATTACGGAAAGCATAAGGCCATTTCTATTTATTATATATATTTGTAATAATGTAAAATGCATTATTATGTATCAAACTATATAAAGAGACGAACCATAAGAAGAAAATCGAGCCACGAGTATGCGTTCACTCCAATTTCTGAGGCCTTATGGCTCTGTTCTTCGCTCACAAGGAAACTATAGCTTTTAGTCTTTTTGCACTTTTGCAATCCGGCTCAAGAAGCTAAATTTTAAAAGCACACAAAAAAGAGAGTTCGACCAACTATACAGTTTTAGAACAAAATTTATTTGCAAGGGTCGTTGACTAGTCTATCAAAATTTATAATGTCAAGATCTTGAGTTTTTAATAATGCATGAGTAATGTGCTGCATTACCAACATGTATATAATAATATCGATAATTTTCTTCACATGCCTAACATTGGTTGACAAAATTAAATTGCAAAAACCTCCCTGGTTATACAAAATTCAAATTGCAGCAGCAGAAGTTGGTCAAAATTTGACTTTTTTCAAGTAAACTCGTAAAACCAAAAAATAAAATAATACTAATAACCAATTAACTTTCAACTAAACACCCAATTATACTTCCCAAGGATGATGGATTGGAGTTTAATTACTCCTTAACTATGGTGATTATTTGTCTAATATACAGTGAGAGACCGACATACATATACGTGTGAATATTATAAACATATGGTATATATGCTTGAATTTTGTGACACCGTCACCGTTATAGATACACACACACGTTATTACCGACTTTACATTGTATGTATATGAAATGCAAAATGAAATTATAAATTGGAATTTGACTTTGTAGGTTGGGTGCCAAGAAGGAATAGAACACTGGTACGGCAATCCATGGATGTACCATAAGACCGGCAGATGATTTGGCTACGAGCAACTATACGAAGTGAAAACGTATCTTGGTCGGCCGTGGAAAGAAATATTATGAGAACCGTTGTTATGCAGACTTTCATTGATGGTTTTCTTGAACCGACTGGTTGGAACGCATGGAGCGGCGATTTCCCACCGAGCACGCTTTATAATGCGGAATTCAATAATACCGGACCCGGTTCAAACACGACAAACCGAGTCACTTGGCCCGGTTATCACGTCATTAACACTACTGATGCTTCCAATTGCATAGTAAATGATGCACAACTGTTTTTTATTTTCTTATATATATATATATATATATATATTATCGCGAAGACCATTCAGATGTGTTAAAACACAATTGTTATGGATTGAGAACAAAATCGAGCATTTCGAGTGAATATATTCGTTTTGAAATATCTTTGTTCAATGGTTTGAGTTTTGAGTTATTACTAGCTTGTGCAAAATATTACTGACCAGTAATTTTCACGAAACAGACATTATACTATAGTACAACTTTTTTATACACACACTGTGAGTCTGTAACATTCATATTAGTATAACTTTTTTATACACACTGCGAGTCTGTAACAAACATATCTATAGTGCATGTAATTCAATATTCAGTAGGAGAAGGATCACGAAATATACAATCCAAATAAGTTTTTTCTTTAGTTTCCGATCACCATCAAATAATAATTGTCATGTTAATTGAAAAGTGGATATGGAATTATTTTCAGTCACAGTCAATTATATATATATACAGTATATCGAAAAGAGGGATTTTACCTTCAACGGAAAGCCACCGTTGGAATTTCCGGCTTTGGTGGGTCCTACGTGAGACAATTTTAAATGGGCCTTCTGTTGGGCCGAAAATAGTAATTCACCTAAACGGCGGCGTTTTTCTTTCTGCTTTTTATGGTCGTTTCTTCTTCTGGATTAGCCGGAGCCGCCGTGAGAGAGAAGAGGGGGAAAATGATTTTACATTCAACTTTTGTCCACAGAATCTATTTTATATCATGGAGAAACTTTGCAGCAAGATAACCATATCTAAAAGGGGATAGTATCTTTCATATAAGTACCAAAAAAATGAAGACAGATTATTAAAGTAATGATAGATCTATTGAATTAGAAAAAAAATCACAAACCTACATTGTATTGTGACACATCAAAGACAGCACAAACACAAAGGATACGTTATACAGTTTCCTAAGACAAGTCTTATGTTTGTGAATCAACATTCATGTCTTCAATGCTCACCGTTTTTTTATCAGTGACACATGCACCGTAGAGATCTGCTGACAGATAAATTCTAGAACATAAAGTTATAAGAAAAGATTGGAATCCAAAGTGGACCCTAAACGTGTTTATTTACAAACACAGTTCCTAACATCACATTCATATCGCAAAGCTAAACCGGAATTTCACAAAACATGAGCATGCTCATTTCTTTGGATCTAAAAACATCCTAACAGCGCGTTTCCTTAGCTTCTCTTCCTCTAAAGATGTCAATCTCGTCCTCTAACCGAGAGTTGTCAAACATTCTCACAAGCACTTGGACGGCTTCCGATTTACGATTCTTCAAGAAAAGCCATCGAGGAGGATTCCAAGCATCCATCTCCATGTTCCTGGAACCTGCCAAAAACAATCTCGCTTATTCAGAGGCTACCAACGGAACTGTTAAATCCAGACCAACGCCGTGCAGTTACCAGTTTTGCATTGTTCATTGCCAAATGCTACTTTTACCGGATCAATGTCGATAGCAACAACAGAAGAAGATCTATTAAAACAAAAGAAGAAGATTTTGGTTTCGATAAAAACACATCATACAATCATTAATCAATCATTCTTGTTTTTGAGACAGACAGAGCTTACACTTCAGCACATTGGATAGTGTTACCACATCTCTCTGCTTGTTTGATTGCGATTTCTTCGGGACTCACACGGTACCATCCTTCTTCATCCATTTCGATGCCTTCGTCATACCTCGAGAAGAGATCCTAACGTCGAATCCAGTACATTTTTACCTTAGGACTCGTACCATTTTCTCTCTCTCGATGGATTTAACACTGAGTGAAGATAGAAAGCAGAAGAGTGGACTCAATTAGGGTTCTTCATCAGAGCAAGAAACAAAAATTTCAATAAAACTGGATTGAGTGATAGAAAGTTAAACGGAAGCGACTATTACCTTTCTCCAAGCGGGATCGTTTCTTGAGCTTCATCGGTCTCGTGTTGTTGACTCGTGTTTCAACGCCGATGGTGAACAGAGATGCCGGAAATCGGAGAAAACATTCGGTTTTAATAATATTTTGGAATAATTAATAAACCTTGTTGCTAGACCGGTTTAGATAATACCGGAATTAGAGTGACAGATCGAGATCGGGGTATTACAATTAGTGTCAGTCTATGTATAGTAAAATATCTAGCAGTTAACCGACGCCATTTTTCTCCGTCAACCAAAACTTTTGTTTGCCCGATATGATTCCCAAGGACATGATGAACCGGTTCGGGTTTTAGTCTCCAATGGATGGATGATCCGAATTAGTTTTCTAGTGGATTTTTTAATTAATCAATAGGCCTTACTGGGCCTCATTTACTTTGTTGCAAAGAAATGGTCCTCTAATATCTATTTTCCATACCCTTAGTGGGACCCGGGTTTCGTACGGTAAATTGCGGGAAGCAGTGTGTGGGTGAAGCCCTAAAACCGTGATTGAGAAGGTGACTTGAGAGAGAGAGTAGAGTAGAGAGAGAGCAGAGATCAGAGAGCATAGAGAGACTTATGGCGGCGGTTTCTTCACCGGAAACCGTTCCGTTACCCTCGTCGGACTTCGCTTCGCTTCCGGTTGTGGCGATGAAGAGGAGAATCATCGTCGAGAATCGCGTCACCCTCATCGTCGGCGACCAGGGCTGCGGTACGTGCGTTCGCTTCGTTTTTTCTATGTTTCGCTGCTTTTGTTCCTTAGTCGATTCTGGTTTTTGTTGATTCATTCTCATGTTTTTGTATCTTAGGGTAATATTTCGTGGATTTCCCAACATTTTGTTCTTATTTGCTTCAGGGAAGAGGAGAGATCTTCCGATTTGGCTGCAGAAGGATGAGTTTCTCCGGACTTTGAACTCTAATCAGACGCTCATACTCGTCGGAGAAACTGGGAGTGGCAAAACTACTCAGGTGAGACTTTCAACTCTCAATTATTGATCTTGCTCATTAGAAAATGATAATGTGCTTGAACATAGGAATTTAACAGTAGAAGGCTGTTTTATTGTACAGATTCCACAGTTTGTTTTAGATGCCGTGGTGGCTGAGAACACAGATACGCGTAAGAAATGGTTGATCGTCTGCACGCAGCCTCGAAGAGTTGCTGCAATGTCTGTGTCTCGTCGTGTTGCTGATGAAATGGATGTGACCATTGGAGAAGAAGTCGGTTACAGCATCCGTTTCGAGGACTGTAGTAGCTCTCGTACCATGCTTAAGTGAGTGTTTGTCTTTCCTTTGGTGGCTTTGCTTCTCATTTTAACGTTTATGTTGTGATCTGATCTTAACCTTTCTCCCTCACCATTACAGGTATTTGACTGATGGTATGCTGCTGAGAGAGGCAATGGCGGACCCGCTTTTAGAGAGATACAAAGTTATTGTCCTCCACGAAGCTCATGAAAGAACTCTGGCCACGGATGTGCTGAAAGTCCCTGGTAGGCTTCATCCAGTGGAGATCTTCTATACGCCGGAGCCTGAGAGGGACTATCACGAGGCTGCTATAAGGACCGTTGTTCAGATTCACTTGTGCGAGCCACCTGGAGATGTCCTTGTGTTCTTAACTGGAGAGGAGGAGATAGAAGATGCCTGCCGTAAAATCAATAAAGAGGTCAGTAATCTTGGAGACCAAGTGGGGCCGATCAAAGTTGTGCCGCTGTATTCTACTCTCCCACCTGCGATGCAGCAGAAGATTTTCGACCCTGCACCAGAGCCCTTAGCAGAAGTTGGCCCTGCTGGTAGAAAGATTATCGTCTCGACCAACATTGCTGAAACATCTTTAACCATTGATGGGATTGTTTATGTTATCCGTGTTGAGTCATTGCTGGTGTCCCCAATATCAAAGGCAAGTTAAACTTTTTGAGATTATGTTTTATATCTGTTGCTCTTTAGGAAACTATTTAGTTATCCAACTGATTTTCTGTCACTTATCATAGTATGCCCACTAGTAATTTAGAATTTTTTTAATAGTTGTGGTACACCGCTTAGAACCACGATGTTACATATATGGAAATAACAAATCTTCTGCGTCTATCAGAGTTTTTGTGGAAGGACTACGATGTAAATTCGGATTCCATTAGTTGCAACGACCATTTTGTGGCATCAATGTTTTGATAGTTAATATAGATTTCATAAACTATTATTCTCAGGTAATATTGGCTACAAATATTGCGGAATCTTCAGTGACGATACCCAAAGTAGCCTATGTCATCGACTCGTGCCGGTCTCTGCAAGTGTTCTGGGATGCATCCAGGAAAAGAGATGCAGTGCAGCTTGTTTGGGTCTCCAAATCTCAGGTATTGCTGGAATTTACCATTTATGGAACAAAAGCGGGTGTCCTAAAATTTTGTGTTTTATGTGGAGTTATAGGCTGAGCAACATAGAGGGAGGACAGGTCGAACATGTGATGGTGAGGTGTATCGCCTGGTGCCGAGTGCGTTCTTCAACAAGCTTGAAGAGCATGAGCCCCCAGCTATACTTAAACTGTCATCGAGACAACAAGTTCTCCATACGTGCTGCACAGATTCCAGAGCCGTTATTGACGCAAACGGTAATAATGTTAGAATTTTTATAGAGAATAATGCTTCACTTCTGACGAGGTCAAACTTTGACAATGAAGTACCTTAGGTGGAGCTATTAGTGCTTATGGTGGAATTATTCTTTCATTTTTTTTTATTAAAAGGGGTGCTTATATGATTTAGGAATACAATAGACTGAAACTAAAAGACAGTATCTATAATGTTTTTGCGTCTGTCTAATCAATCTCCGTTGATTGAAACTGAGTGTAATTATTAAAAGGGGTGCTTATATGGTACGTGCGTTCGCTTCGTTTTGTCTCTGTTTCGCTGCTTTTGTTCCTTAGTCGATTCTGGTTTTTGTTGATTCATTCTCATGTTTTTGTATCTTAGGGTAATATTTCGTGGATTTCCCAACATTTTGTTCTTATTTGCTTCAGGGAAGAGGAGAGATCTTCCGATTTGGCTGCAGAAGGATGAGTTTCTCCGGACTTTGAACTCTAATCAGACGCTCATACTCGTCGGAGAAACTGGGAGTGGCAAAACTACTCAGGTGAGACTTTCAACTCTCAATTATTGATCTTGCTCATTAGAAAATGATAATGTGCTTGAACATAGGAATTTAACAGTAGAAGGCTGTTTTATTGTACAGATTCCACAGTTTGTTTTAGATGCCGTGGTGGCTGAGAACACAGATACGCGTAAGAAATGGTTGATCGTCTGCACGCAGCCTCGAAGAGTTGCTGCAATGTCTGTGTCTCGTCGTGTTGCTGATGAAATGGATGTGACCATTGGAGAAGAAGTCGGTTACAGCATCCGTTTCGAGGACTGTAGTAGCTCTCGTACCATGCTTAAGTGAGTGTTTGTCTTTCCTTTGGTGGCTTTGCTTCTCATTTTAACGTTTATGTTGTGATCTGATCTTAACCTTTCTCCCTCACCATTACAGGTATTTGACTGATGGTATGCTGCTGAGAGAGGCAATGGCGGACCCGCTTTTAGAGAGATACAAAGTTATTGTCCTCCACGAAGCTCATGAAAGAACTCTGGCCACGGATGTGCTGAAAGTCCCTGGTAGGCTTCATCCAGTGGAGATCTTCTATACGCCGGAGCCTGAGAGGGACTATCACGAGGCTGCTATAAGGACCGTTGTTCAGATTCACTTGTGCGAGCCACCTGGAGATGTCCTTGTGTTCTTAACTGGAGAGGAGGAGATAGAAGATGCCTGCCGTAAAATCAATAAAGAGGTAATCATGTTGATGCAAATTCGGATTCATATCACACTTCGGATCTCTATCAATCCTGGAGATGAATTAACAAGCTTATCGATAAAACTAGAATCCGGTTGTTTCCATCTAGGACTTAAATGAGTACTTTTTACAACGAGTTGATCTTTTTACTGTTTCAATTTGCCACAGATGAGAACTCAGTTTGCAACATCTGACAATGGCCATGGAGCAATCGAACCTGATGATTACAGTAAGGATCGAGAGGTGCCAGTGTGTGTGTCTGACCAGTGCACGTTCTCTCACACTCTTGAGTCAACAAGACCAGCCTGCTCTCAGGCACTCGCTGTTAGCTTGTCTGGTGGTTCTTCTTCCTCCAAGCCACGTGAAGATAATAAAAAGAAGAGGGAAGCTAGTAAAGATGGAGCTGACAGAAAGAGAAGAAGGATTGAAGAAGAAGAAGAGGATTCGAGGTAAACATACTGTTGCCCTCACACATTCTTAGCGTTGTTGCAGATTCTTGCACCGATCCACTTGGTTATATTTGCTGATGGAAGAAGATTCACTTTAATTGATGCAATCCAGTGATATGTTGGCTCTCTTGTTGCATGCAGCTCTGAACAAGATGATCCCCAGGAACAAGAAGAGAAAGGCGATCCCCAGGAAGAAGAAGAAGAAGAAGAGGAAGAGGAAGAAGAAGAGGAAGGTCATGATGATAAGATTGATATATGGTGGGACCTGGAAAACCAGCCAGTTCCCACCGATATGGCAGCTAGAGAGGTGTGTGACACCATCCGTAGAAGAATGACTGAACTGGGCTTTAACGGCAGAGTTAAAATGCAGGTTGTGGTTGCTTACAAAGACTCCATAGTGCCTACTAAAGTGAGTAAAGACGAAGATGTTACAGTCCATCGTGCCAAAAACTTTAAGAGTAAGTCTTTTTTTTGTTTACCGTGAGATACTAGAGATATTGACATGCCTTTATTGACAATAACGCCTTTTTTCATCTTTCAGGACCTAAAAGAAAACGAATCTACGATGAAGATGGAAAAAGGATAAAAAGAGTGCCTGATCAAGTTGCAGATGATGAGATCAAAAGGAGACTTGATATTTGGCTCAAGAAAAAACCCCACCGGCCCCGAAGAAGGATATTTTTGTTTAGTGGGGATAAGGGTTTCAGTGACTATGTGGACCGTATGGTAGATGCTGGTCACCGTGTGTACGTGTGTAAGTCTGATAGGGAAGAGTCGCAGGTACTCATTGCTCGAGTAGAAAGTTATTGGGATTATAGAGGATTTCTCTATCTTGCACCCAAGGAGTTTACTTGTCGTGAGAGTAAAGCTCAGTATAAGTTGGAAAAGGAGAGGGAAAAAAAGAGGAAGAAGAAGCATCGGAAGGAGGAGGGAAGGAAGGTGAGAAAGAAGGCTGGTGAAGCTGCTGCTGAGGCTGAAGGTGATGATGAGGCTGAGGTGGAAAAGAAGACGGAAAGAAAGAGGATGAAGAAGCTTAGGAAGGAGAAGAGGAGTGAGAGAAAGGCGGCTGCTGCTGAGGCTGCTGCTAAGGCGGCTGCTGAGGCTGCTGCTAAGGCGGCTGCTGAGGCTGAGGGTGATGATGAGGCCGAGGTGGATAAGAAGACGGAAAGAAAGAGGATGAAGAAGCTTAGGAAGGAGAAGAGAAGGAGTGAGAGAAAGGCTGCTGCTCAGGAAGGAGAAGAGAAGGAATGATCTTTAGGTTGCTGATTTGATTTTAAAAATATCTTTGTGTACCTCAAGGAGACCGAAGGAAGTACCATGATGATGTCTCTGTGATGATTGTGTCCCTTGAAGGAAGGATTTGGCGGTCGTCTGGACAATATTATCCAGAGAGAAAACAAAAATTCAATAGATGAATTAACAACAATCAACAACAACAACCAAAAATTAGGATTTCTTGTAATTGGCTTTATTGTTCTCAAACAATCTTTTCAGTTTCCAGAAGTAAAAGAAAAGAAAAAGAAGGCTTGATTTTTCTATTTCTATGATTTTCAACAGAAGATGAATCAAAAATGTTGTATATTTATGTTTTGGTACCCAAAAATTTCAGAATGTCATCAAATGATCTAAACATTAATCAAAGTCAACTTGTGGACCCAGAAAACTCGTAGATCGTTTTGAGCCGTTAATTCACGATTTCGTCTGTATTCGTATTGCTGGGCGGAGGAAATAATCAAAATCGCTTGTTCCGGCTTCTTTCTTCTTCAATGGTCACACTCACATGTAACAAATCTCCTGCAAATGCGTCTGAATCTCTCGATTCAGCAAAAGCTTCGGATCCAATATGTTCTCGCTTCGAAGCCTCACTAGCTTCGTCGCTCTTCCACCGCGGTCTAAGCCGTCGCCGACTTTGCGTCGTCGATCAGTTCGTTGCCGTCTGACGGAGGCGGCAAGTTTTGCGCCTCTTGATGTAGTCTCCGGAGAGTCGGAACGAGCGATTGCTAGCTTGACTGAGCTTCAAAATGGCGGTGGCTGGAAGACTCCTGAAGAGGAGTTTCCCTCTGCGAAAGATGGCGGCGAGGGACGTGAAGGCGGAGCTGGAGATGACGAATCGGAGGAAGAAGAGGGGATTTCCAGTATACATGTTCCTCGTGAGAAATACATCAGTGTCTCGAAATCTGACCTCGTTGACGGCATCGTAACGACGCTTCTCGATTCCAAAGACGGAGACGCTGATATCTTTCTCCTCCTTGCCTCGTAAGCGAGATTACTAAAATTCCCAAGTCAAACGCGAGATTGCATCATCAATAGTTACAATTTGAAACTCTCTCTCTCTCTCGAACTCTTTTAGGTGCTTGGACTCTATCCTTCACGCGGAGCACAAGAGGATTTTAGAGCAAATGAGAGCCGATTTCGTCGCCACTCAATCTCTGGAAGAAGTAAACATTGGTGGTGACGAAGAAAGCTCTACTTCTTCAGGTAGAGAAACTGACTCAGAGGAGGAAGTTAATTCGAAAGCCAAGAAATCTGAACCCAGGAGTGTTAATGGATACGAGGGTTTATCAATCCCTTTGGCTGATGGTTTCGACATTTGGAACTTTCTGATTTCCTCCGGCAAACATGCAAAGAGACGTTCAGCTGAAAGGTATTTAGAAATTAATTGGGAGATTTGAGAGAATCACTGTGCCATGAAACTCTGAATATATATAGATAGCTTTGGCGATATTTGAAATGCAGTGTTAATGCTGCGACGCGGTTCCAGCGTTCCTTCATTCAGCTTCTCGACAATGCCGGTTTTGAAGAGCTTTCAGCTAGAGATTTGGCACTGACGTCGGCTCTCAACACTGATTACCTTCTTACTTTGCCTGTCTACGTTGACTGGAAGAAGACATCGGAGTCCAATGCTATTGTTTTCAGGTAAATGTTAATATATCCGGTTGCTTTTTGAGCCATGTTCTTTTTGCAAACCTTGAGGTCTTGTGCTCTCTCATTGAGAATCTGTTACCTTTCTGTAACAGGCGTGGATATGCAACTGAGAAGCAGAAGGGTTTGTTGCTTGTGGAGAAGCTAGACTATATTCAGTCTATAGTTCTACGAAGAACCTTCTCTACCATCTCAAAACCCCTGAGGAAAGTTGGGAAATTGATAAACAAGGTCTAACACCTATTTGATTTAAGGGAAAATGATATCTTACTTGATCAAAAGCAAACCTTTGAGATTTGTTAGTTGCTAAGCTTGAACGTCATTTTTTTCTAGGCATTAAATGAGGCTTCTCAAACTCAAGAAATTCAAGATTTGTCAGAGAGAATGAAAGTTTGGCTCAAGGAGCTCTGTCTTTTTAAGGAATCGTATCTAGAACGAGTCCAAACTTCTGATAAATTATTGGAAAGGGAGATCCGTTCAGATTCAGTCCTCCCATGCGATTAGCAGCACAAAGAGCAGTCAGTCGGTACGAGGGGCTTCTCACACCTGTTGGTCCTCGCGAGAAGCTCTTCAGAAAGTTGCTCACATGGATTGGTTTGATTTCTCCTGGTTATGAAATACTATTGCATCTGAACCTTATTTGAGGTGTGTGGCTTCTTTTCTCAGTCATCTTTGTTTGCCACTATATTATGTTTTGGTCTCTGGTTGCTCAAGTATGAAGAATCTCTATGTCAATATCGGATATGTGTTTCAAGGCTTAGTTTGGGATATGTTCACTTAGTATAAACAAGTGTGGAAGTCCCTTGATGTGTTTTTTATCACTTCTTTTAGCATCTTGTTGAACTTTTTGAATCAAATAAAAAATTCTTTGTGTCATGTTTTCTAAACCTTCGACCTGATTAGAAATCTCATCTTCACTCAGGCCGATTTTCTTATCAAGGATGACGCTAGCTGATATATGGAAACCTGCTTCAAAGAAAGCTTGCGTAAATGATATCTGGAAAAGGTTAAAAACTTCGATTTCCATTCTTTTCTCACCGTCAACACTGCAGGTATTGTTTTTCTGTGCAAATAATATAATTTGTTTCAGTCTGCAGTGCAATGTCAAACTTCCCTCAATTGAATGAATCATTAGCTATGGCGACAGGGTCACAGTTCTTAGTGTTTGTTTTTGCTCTGGTGAATAGGAGCCTGCATTTGAAGAACTAATCTTGCTTTACACCAAGGATGCGAATGAAAAGGGCGATACAAATAAAGATGAAACCCGATCATCATTACAATTGGAGATATTTGAAAGAATCCCAATTCCAGATTTACCTGTAAGAATATTACATCTGCATCATGAGTGTGACTGTCTCCTCATGTTTCTTTTCTGCCATTAAGCTTTTCTCTGTAGTTTTCACCACCACTTTTTCTGTTTTATGCAGGTAATTTTCCCTCACAGGAAGCTTTATAGATACAGTAAGTGCGGTTTCATTGTGCACTCAATTTTACTGATCTTGTATCTGTTGACCCAATACTCTGAGTCTATTATTGTTAGGTACGTCTGGATATCGCCAGTATTTTGGGACTTACGGCGTACCTTGTAAACCACAAGTTTGAAAACATCTCATCATCCCCGTATGTCTTCTTATACACTCTTCTCCATACGTCACTTTGTCTTATAAGCACAGAGAGTTAAGACTTGTTCTTTGCTTCACATTGTTTGCAATACAGATCAGCACTATTTCTTGATGTGATCGCCGTCGCTGCCTTGGTAATCTACGCAACACGTGTGGTTTTGGGTTACAAGCAGACATGGGTTAGATATCAAGTGAGTTGAATCCCAAATTCATACTCCCTTCACTACAGTGGGTTTCAATGTTATGATTCTGAATATCTCCCTTGCATTTGATTTACTTCCTCATTTGCTAGTTAACAAGACGCTTTATGAGAAAACCTTAGCCAGTGGTTTTGGCTCCGTCCACTTCCTTTTGGATGCCTCGGAGCAGCAACAGGCAAGATCTCCTTCATTTTCTCCCTTCTTATTCCGTTTGAAATATGCATGAGGAATTTCATATGAAAAATCTTACACTTATTACTTATGGTTTTGTTCTCCAATTACTCACTATCTGCAGTACAAGGAGGCTATATTGACATATGCAATTGCTATACAAGCAGGAAAGAATCAGGTTAGACATAACCAGCCACTCTCTGGTCTTAATGTCATGCCTCATTTTCGGATAGATCAAGCTTTTCGCAAATGCTCATGAATAAACCATTTACCTGCAGAATATGTCTTACTGGATATAGATGCGAGAGATTCATGTATGACATTTTCACAATAAAGTTCTGTGTAAAACTTGAACTCTATTGGCAACTCTACTATGTTTACACCTTGTAGCTGACTCACTAAACCATTTTACAGGTTGAGATGCGAGTAGAAAAGGCTATAAGCACGTTGGTGAGACTAGGTCTAGTAACAGAGACACTCATAGATGGCGACACCAAGCTACAGGCTGTTCCTTGTGCTCAGGCTTATGTTTCTCTTAAAGAACTGTGGAACAGTCTGCTTGGTTGATTATACTCTGTGTTCGAAAGAAGCAATCTAGTAACATATTTTCTTTGTTGTATAAGATTTCAAGTAAAACCCGAATAAATTGTACACAAATAGAATCTGCTAACATAATGTTCATCTACTCTCCATGATATACAGTTCAAAAGCAGAGTTTTACAGAATTTTTCTGATTCCCACAGCTCGAGGGGTTGAGATTTTGTAAAGACAAATACTCCTCCTCCTCCAACAGATCGACCCAGGAGCATGTTCTTATCGAGATAAGACAGGTAATACAGTCCACCTACAGATCTCCTGCAATAGAGGGAACATCTTAGGCATCCATAGACATATCTTGAACATCTTAGGCATCCATAGACATATATAAAAAAAAAGATGTAATTATCTACCTTCCTGGGCTGGTTGCGTTAACTGGAATCTGAGCTTCGAAAGTACGTATAAACTGCAGAATCTGGAAAACCGATATAGGAGTTATAAGCTTGGTCATTCTCTTTGATAAGGTCTTTTTGGTTTCTAGGCATTGTTGATATTAGAAAGTTCTCTCTTTACCTGAAGGCTTAAAAATGAGCGTGGAAGAATTGCAGGTGCGATAAGAGCTTGAAGCTGCTCATTGATGTTAATGTTTCTAACACTTATCTGCAAAAGATTCATCAAACTGAAATTTAGATTGCTTTTGGCGATTTATAGGCTATAATACTGAAAGCTTCGAAAGCAGACAATCAAGTAACCTCTTCAAACTGAAGGTAGACGTTTCGACTAGTGACCTTATCGAATTTTGCAGTCACAACAAGTGTTGCACCTTCTTGATCCTGCCATGGATTCATTTACAGTAAATGTCTGGGAATGTGAAATTGAAAAAGGGTTACAAGTAGAGAAGAAGCAGAAACCTCTAACAAGCTTGGAACACTCCACTGAACAACATTCCGAATGATTCCACCGTCTGATCGATTTTTGCACTCGAACTTCTGGAAGATCTGACCCACCTGATCAAAATCAACAAAGGATTAAAACCGAAACTCAGACAAATGTCTCCCTGCTTTGTCTGATCATCATCATCACCACCTGAAAGAAGGGAAACCTTGAAGCAGCTTCAAACAGACCAACAACATCAGGTGCAGCTGTATACAGTAACCTCCATGTCCAATGGCTTCACCGCCATTAAACCCTTGCACAGTCACCTGAAAAGTTTCTGCCAATTCCAAACTCATAAAACCACCTCATCACTCACTATCATACAGCAGCAACATCTAGCTCAATTACTGTACCAGAGCCTCCTCGATGACAGATCGTTGATCAGAAGTGGCAGTGAGTCCTCGTTGGGTTTCTTGAACAGCTCTCAGAAGGTCGTGTTTCTTGTGTTCTAAGTCAAGCTCACTGTCGACGACCTGAGTTATCAGCGAAACATACTCAAATCGTTTGCTTCAGACGAGCAAAAGAAAGAAGAGCAAAAATGTGCAGAGAATAAACAGACCCTAGCCGTCGTATCTCCAGAAGCTACAGCTAGTCGACACGAGAATCTCTTTCTATGATCGGTATCGATGTTTAGGCCACAAGGTTTGATTCTACAGACGCGATGCATTGAAATCGCCGGGCAAGAGAATGTCGCACATGCAACACCTTTGTTGCTGCGTTTATGACAGAGGTTTCAGGTGGAGCAGATTACTTTTCTGGAAACAAAGACACTGTAAGATCAATTTCATGATGCAGATATGAAAAGGGACAAGAGAATCGGTCAGGTTTTGGAGCTAAAGAAGCTCGCACTAAGTGTTGATACAACAGGCGAGGTTAAAGTCAAACCATTTAACACAGAAGTCAACAGAATCTGGAGATAAGGAAGATAAAGACTACCTATTGGTAGCACTTGAGGGGTTACGACTGGCGTAGCAGCACCATTGATCACATAGTCAGCCATTTGATTTCCAGAACCCTGAGCTAATGGTGATTCCATTGCCGCCTACACATGATTAGTAAACAAACAATCAGAAAGGGAAGATCCCTTCTCAAGCAGCCGAAAACAACACTCAAGTTGTGAGAAACTATATAATTCACAACAACAGTTTCCGTTTCACCCTCAGTGGGCTGTCTCAACATTTCCTGCAGGATTCGGGGATTTTCTGGTACGCTTTCTCGTCCTTTTTGCAGCACCAGTGACTGGCTTAGCAGCATTACAAGAGCGGATCGTCTTCGATTTCTTTGGTCCGCGGACCGCATTGATTTCTGACATCTTTCTTTTGCCGTCTAAAGGAGTTTAATTTTCAGGTTTTCTCTGAAAATGGAAATGAACATGATCACTTATTTCACAAAATAAACCAAATTTGGAGAGAATGCAAGTGAGGAAATACCTTTGGTCCTTGAAGGTCTAAGAACAGAGAGTTTCACGAACTTATTTGAAGAAAAATTATTAATGAATGCCAAACAGAAACCGCAATTCCGTTATTTGAATAACTCTTTTTTTCTTCTAGATCGATTAGATATGAAAACCTTAGAAGAGACCGAGTACAAAAACGATTCTAATAATACATCACTGTTGTTTCAATAAATAGCGAAAAATAAGAGCTGACATCACTTGAGTAACCACAGTTTTAAACAAGAAAACGAAATGAAAAGTAAATAACCAAAAATCACTTTTTCTTGCAGGTTTGAGATTTTCGAGCTCAACGATCAGCAAGACGTAAATGATTATGAAGATGGCCAAAACCCGTCCGGTATGCTTTCCTCAAACGTTTGCTCTTTGGAAATTTTGCGAGTGTTATTGCCTACAAGATGTGTATATGATACATGAGTATCTTGTACGCATTTCTCTCTGTTGAAAATCTATAATTATCATCAAGAAAAACTTGCCTTTATAGATCCATTTCGATTGTACTTGTTTTCTCGACGAGACGCAAGAAAAGCACGCTCCTGCTTGACAACGAAGGGAAAAGGTTAAACAGGTTGTTGCTCAAATGAAACAATGTAGTGATGATACAGAGGATGCTTACTCCGAGTGCATGTTTTTGATCACTTGAGAGATGCTCCATGAGATCATCAAGGCTTTTGCAATCACAAAAGCACAATTTGCAAAAAAACATTTCGGTAGATTCACCCCTTTCACTGCACTTGCGAAGCACGGGTCTTGTTGTCTCTGAAACATGTCTTGTTGTCTCTGAAACATGTCTTGTTGTCTCTGAAACATGTGGAAAAGAAGAAGATAAAAACAAACTATAGCTCAGAAACAGCAGCGTAATTAGTTTCAAACGTTAGTGGGCAAACAAGCACCTGCAAGTAAGCTTTCCCAAAGCCACTCTGCAGAAGTGACCAGGACTGACATTTTGTGAGGCCTATACGAATATGCCAGAAAAAGGTTGTATTTCTTCTGTTGTAGTTGATGGACGAGGCCGTTGTTGAAGTACTCATCCACAGAGTCCGATATGAACATCGTTGTCGCCGGAGGAGGATTATGCATATGCCACTTTCTAAAATCGTCATTCATGCGCATGTATATGACTTCTGTTTCAGCAAAAGGAAAGCGTTTCAGTAGCTGAAATTCCAGAGATGGACTAACCGGGAATAATTGAAATTCCAGAGATGGACTAACCGGGAATGGCATGTGCAAGAGCGACTCCAGTGGAAGAGAGCCCTCGCAGGAGGTGATCAGGGGCTTGTTGTAGGTTGCCGTAGGCAGTGATGGAGACAGGACCAGAGTAGCCAAGTTTCTTGAACGCCGCTTCTAAACTCGGACGGACCTGACGAGCATCATAGCCCTTGGGAATCGGACAGTCTATCATGTCCCACCACACCGCTATTTGAGCTGTCGCGTATTCAGGCGTCGCCGCGTAGTTCTTTCCCCACGTCCTCGTCTCAGGGTCAAGATCTCCATACGCATATTTCACAGCCTCCTGCGAGTGAAGTGGAAACAGCTCAAATATGCATGCACAGATATATATATATATATAGAGAGAGAGAGAGGTTGTCTTTCTCTTACTCGCACTGCATGCTTTTTACTCGAGAGATGCTTCCTGAAACCCGTGAGGCTTCGACCATTGAAAGAGCACGATTTGCACGATTTGCAGTAAAACATGGCAGATAATTCACTACTTTCACTGCTCATGTCCTGAACAAGTGCGACTTTGGGCTCAAGTATTCTACCCCAGAGCCACTCTGAAGCGCACAGTGCTAAACATGAGATAAGCCTAGATGGAGTAGCCACAAAAAAGTTATATTTCGTCCGTTGTTGTAGACGGGCCAGATCCCAATCGAACACATCTTGCACCTTATCGGAGATGAGCAACATTGTAGCCGGAGGAGGATTTTGAGCTCGCCACTCCAGCATATCGGAATACATGAGTGAGCATGTGCTTTCTGTTTCATCAGTCAAAGGCAAAGGACTTGAGTTGAAATTTAAAAGCCCTAAGTTCCAGAGATCGATAGCAATTGGACTAACCGGGTTTGGTATGTGCGATAGAGACTCCGATGGAAGAGAGCCCTCGCAGGAGGTGACAAGGAGTTTGTGTCTGGTCGCCATAGGCAGTGATGGAGACAGGACCAGAGTAGCCAAGTTTCCTGAACGCCGCTTCCATATTCGGACGGATCCGACGAGCATCATAACCCTCTGGAATCGGACAGCCCTTCATGTCCCACCACACCGCTATTTGAGCTGTCGCGTATTCAGGCTGCGCCCACGCCATCCTCTCAACCTAAACCAAATCACAGACACAAGTCCCCGATCCGTCGTAGGGTTTTTTCTAAGTTTGATGTACTGTGTATATAAACCAAACTAATGGGCCTAAATGAAAGCCCGTAAAGGTATGGTGGGCTTTCGGGTACTTTAGAATGTTAGATATTTTGGGGGCTAAAAACATTGAAACACGATTTTCTTCTTTTCTAATTTGCAAAATAAATTATGAGATTAAAATTAGATTATCGATCGGGTGGAAATTTCTGAAACTAAATCTATGATAAATCTTGCTTAAAAGTAAATAGAAAAGTGGCTGCACTGCACATCCTCTAATGCATAAAAATTAAAGAGACTTTTGGGTGCATAATAAAACCACCTCCATTGGTGTTTCTAAACAGATTTTTAAGAGTTTCTTAAGATACAAAATAATAAAAATAATTATTTAATATCAGTTTTTGCTAACAATCGTTCCTTATCTAACAACTTTAAGAACTTTTTAAAACCGGTTACGTGTCAATTTCTGATTAGATCTGGTTATTTTAACAAAACAAAAATAAAATTCCAATTTTTTTTCTCGACTCTCTCCTTAAATATTGTCATTTCGCAGTTTCCCTTTTCTCTCTGCTAAAATCCGTCGCGGTAGCTTTCTATAAGCGAATTCAAGCTCTGATTGTGAGTGAGCAATCACCGGCTGCTGCAGATAAACGGCGGTGGAGGAGGAGGAGAGGGCGTCAACGATGTTTGGCTGGTGTCTCTTTCCTTTGTGTTTCTCACAATTTGAGAAAGCATGAGATTCGAAAGTTTTTGTTGGTCGATCAATTTAGTGGGCGAATGAGACGGCTCAAAGGTCAATACATTCAGCAATGGATGATTGCTCCAAAGTGTTATTTTGAAAAACTCATTTCTCTCATCAATAATTTTTAAAATATAAATTTTTTAATTCTTAAAAATCCTTAATAAGATTCTACCAATGGAAGAGAAAAAAATGAAGGTCTTTTAGTAGAGTTTTTAAAATAGAATGATAGAAAATTTAAATTAAAAAATTGTTAAGAAACTCATTTGGGGTTCACCAATGGACATGCTCTAATGCAATGATTATAGGATCATGAGCTAAAACGTGCGCCCAAGTCACATCCCTTATTCTCATCAACAAATTTGGAATTTCAAACCTTATCGCTTAAACCTTTATATACCTCTCATATCGTACAACATTCTTTCGTCAACAAAACACATTTATACAGCTAACTGAAGATTGAATCAGGCTCATATAGTTACCAGTTAGAAACTTGAAAATGGCTCTATTCATTTCCTACATGCTGCTTCTCTCGTCCCTGTTCGCCGCCGGAGTAGCCACAGTCACCCACGGAGAACTGCTTTCTTCGATGATCGGAGTTCAGGGTCTCATCTACTGTAAACAAGGATCTAAACTTACCCCTCCATCACCGTACGAGTACGTAGTTGAATATTTATATATTGTGATGGGTGCCGCACATAAAAAGAAAGGAAAATTTAGATATGTTCGTATTGGCTGATTTGAGCAAATTGTAACAATACAACATCGAAACTTGTTAGAGTAGTTTAGCTCTTTTGAATACAGCATTTATAGCCCTTTTGCTTTTTTTTATAACGAATTTATGTCGCGAGTTCCAAAAAAAAAAGACTATAGTTCTCTTCATTACTTTCAGGCCACATTAATTTTTTTCTCATCAAACGTAATTTGATGTGTAAAACTTTCTTTGCAAAAGTTGATTACAGACTCCAATAAATAGACATAAAATGTAGTAATTAATATTCACACGTGGACAGGCGTGGTGGCGAGAGTGACCTGCGAGACAGCGGGCGAATACGGTTACGAGGCGGAGGATGTGACGGTGCTTAGCCAAGCGACTGATGGGAAGGGTTATTTCCTGGCGACGCTTTCTCCGTCGGAGGTGAAGGATTATGAGAAGGTGAGGATCAAAGAGTGCAGAGCGTTTCTTGAGCTTTCACCGGCTGACACGTGTTCTTTTCCGACGGAAATCAACCGTGGAAAGCGGAGCCATTCTACAGAAATATCGTCTCCTAGAAAACAAAAGCAAGACGAAGCTCTTCACCGTTGGCCCTTTCGCCTTCTCGCCTGAGGAAACTCAGGACAAGTCTATCCCCAACGGCTACTAGATGCTTTTTTTTGTTCCTTTCTTTTAAATGCCTTCATGAGCCAATTATATATTCTGAGCCCAAAATTTTTATGGTCCGGGTGTCAAACGTTCGTTTGTTGTTCACTTAAGTTTAGTAATCGTCACAAATTATCACTAAATTAACGATAATGAAACGAATTTAAATTTTCATTGGTGATTTTTATTATTTAATTTCCTTTAGAGTTTATCACCGAACAAACAATATGAACATATATTATTTTAAAATAACTCTTACATGTAAAAGCTCTTAATATATTATTTTCACCTTTCCAATATACTTTTTCTTTCTATAGTAAAAAAAGACTACACCATTTTCGGTAATTTTGACATGTTTTATTGATAAAACTCTTTTTTATACCTATTATTATATATATTTAGAAAAAATTAAATATATACAAAATTTGGTGTTTATATAATTATGATTTTATTGATTTAATAATGTTATTTATATTACAAGTGATCAATCGTTTTTATTTTCTTCAATTATAACGGTATTAGTTATGTAGCCGCTTCTGACATCCAAAACACTAGGAACGGATCTAGGTCCATGCAGTACGTCAATAAGCACTTGGACATTAATAATAAACCGATCAAAATTATGCTTATCGTGATTTTTTCCTTTGGTTAATTATAACCTGTTTATAGTATCTTATACGGTACATATATACCTCCACTAATTTATTTTTCCAATACATAATTTCAAATATTACACTTGGGCAAGTGCTTATTTTTTGTCAAACTGGGACAACTGCTTCATATACTTATAAATATATAGAGATTATTTTCCCAGTGAATAGTGATTATTACTCCAGAATTCGAAGAACCAAGGGCAGTGGAGGCAGAAAAAACAAAATTAAAAGTCAAATGATTAATACACAACTCGAAACTTGCCTTGAAAATGCAATATGGAGGAGGCACATGCTTTTATCCCGCGTAATTCGAACAACTAGTGCTAGTGGGTTTTGGTTAAGTAGCAATATAATAAACGAAAATTAGTTGATTGAAATATACACTTTATAGAAATTATCTTATATATACCCTTGACATTATAAAAGTCCACGGACCGTCGATGCCACCAAAACACTGTCGGTTTCGAGGGCCGATGATGTTCATACGTTTCTAAGTGCTGCGATCACCAACGAACAGACTTGTCTTGAAGGACTTAAATCCACGGCGTCGGAAAATGGTCTCTCCGGTGATCTTTTCTACGATACAAAACTCTATGGGGTCTCTCTTGCCCTCTTTTCCAAAGGTACATACAAAACAATTAACATGCACGTAATCTCCATTTATTTTAATTTAAATATGCACGTCTTCTATAATGTGCCACGAAATCTGCATTTTATTCGCATTTTATTTCTACGATTCTTGCTTTCGTTAACGTTTTTTTTCAATTTTTATTTAAGAGGCGATCGTTAGAAAACCAACTCATGAGGTTTCAGGTTTAATAGTTGAAAGATTTATTACTATATATGGTTACGTCCGGTTCTTTTCACTTGCTTGTGGGATTAGTGTTTTATTTTTTTGAGATTATAATTATCTACTAAGGTACGACAATAAAATCTTGGTAAATACGAATTTTTTAGTTTTATTATGTATATGTGTTATATATATGAACTGCAAAATGAAATTATAAATTGGAATTTGACTTTACAGGTTGGGTGCCAAGAAGGAATAGATCGAGACCGATTTGGCAACCACAAGCCAGATTCAAAAAGTTTTTCGGTTTCCGCAACCGTAGATTACCGTTAAACATGACGAAAAGGGCACGTGCGGTTTACAACACCGTGACTGGGTCTGGTAGAAAACTACTGCAAGCTGAAGCAGACGCCGTTCAGGTGAGCGACATTGTGACGGTGAACCAGGATGGGACGGGAAACTTCACGACCATAAACGCAGCCGTTGCAGCCGCGCCTAACAAAACTGACGGTAGTAACGGTTATTTCTTGATCTACGTAACGGCGGGATTGTACGAGGAATACGTGGAGGTTCCCAAGAACAAGAGGTACGTGATGATGATCGGTGATGGCATTAACCAAACGGTTATCACCGGAAACCGGAGCGTCGTTGACGGATGGACCACTTTCAATTCCGCCACATTTAGTAAGTACTGTACTTCATTTACATACGAAACCAATTTTATTATTGAAAATATCTTCTTCCTTTATTATCCTCAACAACATATATACCAGTATATTTATACGTGCAAAAAGTAGAACAGAAATATATGCGGTTTAAATTCAATGAATATAAAAAAAAATAGCATTGGAGTTTAGCACCACAAATTAGAAAATTGGTTGAAAAATACCAAGGCATGTGCACAAGACATGGCTTCTTCGTGCAAGTGCGATTTAACTATTCTTTTAGAAACCTTTTTTCCCAAAAGCATATATAACTTAATATTTTAAGACATAATAGTTTATTTACCAGCAAAAACATAAAAGAAAATAATTATTGTAAGTCCACTTAGCTTTTAAAATAGACTTTCCCATGCAATCGAAGGCGACTTGGTCGGATGGTCCACCGAAAGTCTTGACTCCACGTCAATTCGTCGTGTCCTCAACTAACATGATACCATAGTCCATTAAACTACAATTATTTCACAAATTTAAACTATTCCCAAATGTTCCTCCAACGAACCAACCGCCGTAATGAGTATTTTTTTTTTTTTTTGTAGGATTGTCTTGATGAAATAATTAACTAACTCTACATTTTGTTCACAAATGGCAGTTCTATCAGGTACTAATTTTATTGGCGTGAACATAACAATCCGCAACACGGCAGGACCGACCAAAGGTCAAGCCGTCGCATTGAGGAGCGGTGGAGACTTCTCAGTTTTCTACAGTTGCAGCTTTGAAGCCTATCAAGATACCTTATACACGCATTCTCTCCGACAGTTTTATCGTGAATGCGATGTTTACGGCACTGTTGATTTTATATTCGGTAATGCTGCGGTGGTGTTACAGAACTGTAATCTCTATCCACGTCAGCCTCGCAAAGGTCAGTCGAACGAAGTTACGGCTCAGGGTCGTACCGATCCGAACCAGAACACTGGTACGGCGATCCATGGGTGTACCATAAGACCGGCGGATGATTTGGCTACGAGCAACTATACAGTAAAAACGTATCTTGGTCGGCCGTGGAAGGAATATTCGAGAACCGTTGTTATGCAGACTTACATTGATGCTTTTCTTGAACCGACTGGCTGGAACGCATGGAGCGGCGATTTCGCACTGAGCACGCTTTATTATGCGGAATTCAATAATACCGGACCCGGTTCAAACACGACAAACCGAGTCACTTGGCCCGGTTATCACGTCATTAACGCTAGTGATGCTTCCAATTTCACGGTCACAAATTTTCTTGTTGGTGAGGGTTGGATCGGACAAACCGGAGTGCCTTTCGTAGGTGGACTGATTGCATAACTTAACTTTATACTTATATATATATATATATATATATCATTCATGTGTTCTTTTTTTCTAAATTAAATAATTGTGTATCCAAGTCAATTTAGTGATGCCTGGTTCCATTCCCACGGTGGCTAGGATTTGTCATAAGTAATTACTAATACTTGTTTATCTACAATATTATTGACAACCGAGTCATTATTTTCGGAATTTAAACGTGTTACAAGAGACTGGCTACACTAATAATCCACCCAATAACAAATGAAGTTTTAGAAGCTCTTTGTGGTCCAGGACAACGCCACGTGGGCTGACATTAGTGCCGCGTGTCGAAGTTTCATGCGGTTTTGGAAAAATTGCAAACCCGTTTTAGTTTCTTTTACCCACCCGCTTAAATATATCAGATGCTCCATAGCCTTTTCAAAGATAAAACCGGATTACCCGGAAATTTAGATCCGTTATGGCTGGGTAGAACCGGATTGGAGCCTTCAAATTCACTGGGAATCTCCACTGAGACATCGAGTAGATGGATCGGTTCTCTCTCACAGGCCTCCATCGGAAATCTCAACGGAGAAGAAGACGCGGAGGAAGAGGAGCTTGCGGTTTCTATGTCCTCTACCGGTTTAACCGGAGCTGCCGGTTCGGGGGTTTGGGGTTGAACCGGAGCTCTGCAAAGCGGGCAAGTGGACCTGGAGCGGAACCAAGTATCTATGCAATCGACGTGAAAAGCGTGGCCACATTTCGGGAGAAGACGGCCTTCCTCCTCCTCCTCGAACTCCGACAAGCAGACGGAGCAATCCTCTAGTGGCGATTCATGGTGAGTCTTGGAGGAGTAAACGAAGACCGGGATCTTCTCGAGAACCGCGGGATCGAGAGGGGAAAGGGAGGAGGAGATGGTGGAGGCGGAGAGAGACCGGAGATGAGCACGAATCCGGCGGCGAACGCGACGGTTCTGACGGCGGAATAACCATCTGGCGTAGGTGTGGAAACAGAGGATCATAATCACGGCCATGAAGAGGATGATCACAGAGGAGAGCATGATTTTGCTGTTGAGAGCATAGCCTGGAGGCGCGTGGATCACGCTCCCCCACATTGGCTTGCTGCTTTCTTCCCCGATTCCCATGGTTTCTAGCTAAAGGAGGTTTACTACAACACTTACTTACAGAGAGATGAGAGAGGGACGAAAGAGTGTGGGAACTTGATGTGTCTCAGATTTAGATCCTCTTTATTTATAGCCTATTTTAAATCATTGGGTCCCCATATAGTATTTTGTAATGAATTTTCATTTTATCTAATTTTTATACTAGTATTAAAAAAATTATATTATCTTGCATTTATATCCATGCCCTGTATAATTTGAATACATCTTTTTATTGAAAAAAAAGTTTCCTAGTTTTTTAACAATATAAAATTTGCCTCTTTTTTTTTGTCTCTAAGAGTTTCCTTTTCTTTCGACTAAACATGTTATTGTTCATTATCTTGACAAAGTTTCCTTTCATATACTATGTTTTTAACTTTGCTATTTAACGGCATTTTGACAACAAAAGTGTGAAAAAGAACAACCGATCGTATTACACAGTAAACATAGTTATTTACTAATGACTCTTTTTTTTGTCGAAGTTATTTACTAATGACTACAACTGAAAGTTGATGTATCATCATAACTATTATTGTGATTGTTTTGGAAAATAAAGTCCTTTTGGGTCAAAATAGAAAAGTGTTTTGCCACTTTTCTTCATGAGATTTTCATACGCCTAAAGAAAGTCTTCAAGTTCTTGAACCCACTTGTGACTTCTCACTTCTCAGTCTATTTATATGCTTAAAGGCTAAATGTACTTGACAAGTTCTTGAACCCACTTGTGACTTCTCTGTCTATTGAAAATTACTTTATGCATCCATATATTACTCTTGTATTTTTTTTTCCCCAATTCGTTTATACAATCGATTTTTGTGAGTTTTTAGATTTTTTCCCTTTTTGACTACTATGATGATTTGTAACCCGTGGAATCTAACATATATTATGTAACCCGTAGAACTTTATATATGAATGGTAATAACAATATTAATAGATATGAACTGAAAAAATAAAATCATAACTAGATTAACAATCACAGAAGACTATCATTCAAGTGTGCTTGCCTAGATGCTCAAGAGACTGTTTCAATCTTAGACCCTTCTTTGCTTTGATGAATTATTTTCTTTGTTTCTAAAACAAATATTATTTCTTTTTATCTATGTTCGTCAAATGTAGCTTTTAATTATTTCGTTTGAGTCATTTTCAAAATACAGCTTTAAGACCATTTTTACACATCAGAACCTAACAAGTGTTTTGTCGTGAAGAGGATGTAGTTTGGGTTTCCGATTGGAAATTTGTAGTGTTTTTTACAAATTGATTACGACCTTAATGCTCGAGGCCTTTTTCTTTCTTGTTACTACTTTAAATAACATTGGTCTATATATATACCATCTACAATATTTATTGAAAGAAAACAATTACAAAGTGGCAATGGTCTTTATTAAAATATACTAACTACACTGGCATGGGATATTGTGATTTTCCCCAAAATCACATGTATATTATTTGACATAAAATTGTACAAAACACTATATATATATTGATTCAAGATTTTTACTATATCTTTTTCATCTTAATTTAAATTTAACTGTTATATAATCAAATATAATTTCGCCCATTGGCAACATGGGTCAAAAAAAGTAGTTACATATATTCAATGAATATTTGCTCTTCTCTGATTAGTTGCCCTCACCTTTTTCCCCCCTTTTCTCACTCTTATTCTTACCTTTCTTGCTTCTCGGTGTTCAACACCATTACAATAATTATAAACCTATATACAAAAAGTTAGTTTCGCTTAATAAATTGACCGAGTTTAGTGAAATGTTATTTTAAATACTAGTAGTATTTTGATGTATAAACAACACAAGTTGGTTTCGCATCCACTGGTTTGCTCTGACGGCGGCCGTAGAAATAGCGAATCTATGGGTATTTAAGTAGTTGCCATGCAAAATGTAACTTTGTTTAACCAATCGCAAAATAGAGAGAGAAAAAGGTGATATTATGAACAAGATAGGATTGCCCAATGGTCAAAACATTCCCCAAGTTGGGATAAACTTCTGTTTTCTTCCTCCTATGTGTGTCTGTGTCATGTGATGTGAATCTAGAAATCTATCAAAATATCATTTACTTTTTCTTTTACCACATTTTATATGTTGACCGCGATTCATAATATAACTCTCTAATTACGGAAATAATAGACGGATACCAGCTTTCCCATTTTCACATATGGATTATATTAAGCTAGATATAATAATTAAGATATTAGGTTTTAGTTAATGAATCATTTTGGTTTACTATTGAAGCGACCGGTCAAATGATCCTACGGTCCAACTTCCTCCCAAAATTTAGCAACGAACAAAACATCAAAGAAATCTACATTCTGCTGATGATAATCTAAACAAATATCAACGTAGTTCAATTGTTTTTAAATTAGAATGTGACCGGTATTATTGATTCAATTTCATAAAGAAATAATGTAATGAACCGTGAGAATGCGTAATTACATGATGTAACAGCGAGTCAAGCTCACACATTGACATGCCTAGTCATGGCCAGCTCACTCCTCTACCTTTTTTTCCCCTTTACTTTTACTTTTTTTACATTTAACTTTTTTCCTCACCTTTTTATTTTTATTTTTCTTTCACGTTATTTCAGAGAAGGGCTTGTTTTTTTTGAAAAACAGCGACGCCAGTATTTGAGACAAGCTTAGGCATAACAAAGAATGATTGTTCTTCTCAAATCAAGCTAAAAGGCTCGAACATAGCGTGAGAAGTGTGAAAATTCGTTTGGCTCAATTAAAGGTATTTTTTGACAAAGAGAGATACCCAAATAAAAGAAAAAGATCAAACATTAATCTTATTCAAAAACCAGATAATGCGCAAAAAAAAGAGAAGAGGCAATGAAAAGTTTTGAAAATCCGAAAGAATTCTTGGAGTGCCTCTTATAGATTACTACTACGTACAAGGAATCATCAAGAATCCAAGTTTCCATTTATTTGGGTAATAATCAACCTACACATGGAATAATGTAGTTACATGTCAGTTTACCATTGAGTCGATATTATTTTTGGATGTATGGCCCATTAATATAAATATTGGGCTATTAAGTGGGCTTAGAGCTTTACAAATACAGTTTTGTTGGTAAAAACCTCACCTTTGGATTTTGGCTTGCCGGCTATAATCTCCGCTTTCGCTATTTCGCCGGAGATTTCGTGAATCAGAGAAAGATGGAGATGCAGGAGGCCAATCAAGGATCGGAGGTTACTCCAAACCAGACTATTTACATCAACAATCTCAACGAAAAAGTGAAACTCGATGGTGATCAATCTCTTCTTTTTTTTCGTCATATGTTTTCTCCGATTTCAGTTGATTGAGACTTTTCGTCTTCTTCTTCTGTGGAAACTCTGCAGAGCTGAAGAAATCTCTGAACGCCGTGTTCTCTCAGTTCGGGAAGATACTGGAGGTGTTGGCGTTTAAGACACTGAAGCACAAAGGGCAAGCTTGGGTAGTCTTCGAGAACGCCGAATCTGCTTCCACTGCTATTGCCAAGATGAATGGATTTCCCTTCTACGATAAACCCATGGTTCGATTTTACTCACACTTCCTCGATTTTACTTTGTTTCTGGATTCAAAGTCGGTGGCTTTCGCTATTACCTAAAATGCATAATTAGGGTTTGATTTCACCGAGTGGAGCGGTTGAATTGCAGAAAAAATTGTTTGTGATTACATCGATTTTTCTGCCTTTAGGTTATAGAAGAGGTTAGATTTTTAGGCTGTGGGCAACTATTCGTGTATCCCTTGTTGGGATTTTAGCTGAATCTATCCTTTTTAGTTTCTGTTGAAATATGCCAATCACTTTTGCAGTATTATCTCTGATAAGTACTTTAACAATGTGAACAGAAAATACAATTTGCGAAAACAAAATCAGATGTTGTTGCCAAGGCCGATGGTACATTTGTTCCTCGCGAGAAGAGAAAGAGACACGAGGAGAAAGGTGAGACTTTAAAGTTTTTTTGTCATTGCGTCATTGGCTCAGTAAATGTACATGTAGATGTATTGCTCTGTTCCTCATTCCCACATACTAATGTGAAGCCTTGGTGACTTTGAGAAATATCTTTGCTTCTCCAACCTATAAACGGTATGTTGTCGAATCTGTAAATCGTTTTTTTGGAATTGCAGGTGGCAAGAAAAGGAAAGACCAGCATCATGATTCTACACAGATGGGAATGGCCATGAACTCTGCATACCCAGGTGTCTATGGAGTCCCACCTCCTGTGAGTCATCTCAACCTTGCTCATTCTCTTTAATCTCACATGCATGCTTTTGGGAAATCCTCTGTATTCTTCTCATGTGTTTCTAATCGTTGCTCTCTCTTAAACTCTTGTCATGTATTTATAATCGCTGCTCTCAAATTTTCACACAGCTTTCGCAAGTACCATACCCTGGTGGTGTGAAACCAATGGTTCCGGAGGCACCGGCGCCGCCAAATAACATCCTCTTTGTCCAAAACCTTCCTCACGAGACAACTCCAGTGATGCTTCAGGAGTTCTTCGGCCGGTACGTAGGTTTGAAGGAGGTTAGGATGGTTGAAGCCAAACCGGGTATTGCCTTTGTGGAGTATACAGATGAGATGCAGTCAACGGTTGCAATGCATGAACTTCAAGGTTTCAAGATTGAGCAAAACCAAATGCTCATCACCTATGCCAAGAAATAGACCTTTTGCTCTATCTCCCGTTAATGTCACTTCTTCCATGGTTTTTTCTGTGTTTTGTTGTAGAATTGTTTTTAGAATACTACAATTATCTAACTTATCAGACTTTCATCTAAACAGTAAGTACCTTTAGCTCCTCTTCCATGAAATTTGGTTGAAGAGTTATGCTTTTGATTTGAGTGAGTAGAATCTTGGACATCTATGAAGAAGAAAAAGAAGAGGAAGTAATCATCATTGTGTGATGTTGGGTTGGTCGTAGAAAAGTCCTTGGTTGTGTAGCTATTTTCCTTGTTTGGTGCTGACGTCAGCGGTTAGCCGGTTAGTAGGTCAAAACTCGTGCGTGCGTGAAGCGAATTGAGTTATCGAACTACAAAAGCATTCATTAGCATTTAGTAGGAAACACGAGTGTCATACGGACACGTAAGCATTAATGTGTTGATAGATTTGGTGATGACTTCATTGTCTGACTCTTTTTACAAGACTTGCTGATTCATCTCTGGGTGACACCACCTAATTAGTGTATTGCGCACTCACTTCTAAGCTTGCTGTTCTGTTTTATTAAATGGCTGAAGCATAGTTTTAGTAATGAAACATGTAGTAGATGTGTAAACACCTGAGATTTGATTCATGATGTTTTTCGTGAGCATCTTACTTTTGCTAAAAGCATTTGACAACAACAGAATATTGCGTATTTAGATTGTTAATCGTCGTATGTACAAATGATTTAGTCGATAACAAATTAAAGAGAGAGGGACCTTACAACCTCAATCATATTTTGAAGGTTAGAGAAAGTTAGACCAACACGCAAAGCCCTACGAGCGAGCACTCTTTCATTATTCCCATCTTCTTTTGCCCCCAACAGACTTTGACGACACACCTTCCCCTTTTTTTACCACTGTCTCACACACACATTTATGTTATTATTCCAAATGATTCTTTTATACTATGGCATCTATCATTGTGATATATAGATGAAACTATATTATATAATTTTCATTTATGAAATATACAATTTACTGAGAGAAAATGTATAATTCGAACTCAAAGAGTAGCTTAAGGATAGGTAAGATAGATTAGGTAATTGCATGCATATATAGATTAGGTAAAGATAGATTACCGATCCATTTTATTTGGTTGTATCCGTAATTAATTGATTTTTAGTCCGTGTGAATCGGTAAGAAAACATTTGTAGCTTTTTAGGGTAGTAACTTTAGTAATATGTTTGATCAGTATTTCGATCAATTATACTAGAAACACCCAAAGTTTCAAATTGAATTCTCACTCGATCTATATACTGCTTTATAGTATTTGAATATCTTCTCCCTTTCTGCAAACAAGTTCAGAGAATATTTAACGGATGGAAGCGGTTCTTACCATTAGAGTAGGTGCTAAGACTTGCAGAGAAAGTAGGTCTGAGATAGATTGCTTGTAAAAGCGTGTCAGACTGCATAGGATCCTGCAATGACACACAATATGGTACAACTAATTATGTGGAGTTTGTGAAATTTAGGGCAGACAAGCCCCCACGCTTGAAAACACACATTTTATTTGGAAAGAAAAGCTTTGAAACTTGCAATAATTAGACGACAGGGTGTGTATATTGTTTGGACCTACACTAGTTTATTCACTCTCTCAATTTTCTTCTTCAACCCTTCTTTTGCGTGAGATGCCCATCATGGCTATAATGGCATGGCTCTTCAGCCTTACGTAAAACACACTCACGCCAACATACATACATGCATATTCGTCTCTCTCTCTCTCTATATATATATGTATGTTCCATTAATGCAATCTTTGGGCCTATATATACAAAGCTAGTTGCATAACCAAAGCTCTCACATAGATTATTACAAAAGCTCGCATGTATACTTTGGAAATGCGGGTGAGAATCTTCACGTTGGAGAAGCAGGGCACGTGCAAACCAACAAATACGAAATCTGTCTCATGTCCTTTGCACGTGCTCCCCTCCTCCAACATGAGCTTCTCACCATTGGCATTGATGCTATATCCTTTAAACCTTCTTTGATCAAACGTTTTTTGGTTGTTCTTCAACTCTTATCTTTTTATTCTCAAACTAAGCTATGAATTATATCAGGTGGTAAATTCTCCTATGTGTAAGAATTGATGTTTAAGTCTCTAGAATACATATTTTCTTATTTTCAATCTTTATCTTCTCCATACAATTGTCTTTGGTTTCCATCACGAGACGATAATGTTTTCGACCTTCCTCGTCATATTCATATATACACTTTACTGCAAACAGCATTATCCGTTTTAAGTTAATATCCTAATTAAAGAATATTTTATTATATACATTTTCTTAAGCTTTTGTGAAGGTTTCTCTTGACGTTTCAGCGGCATTTGTGACTTGTGAGATGTTAATCGTCGAATCAAGAACACCAAACTGTCTTTTGGTTCTATTCTACTTCCTTTCCACAATAATTTTAATCCTTTTTTCACATCTTCTACTAGTTTTTTTTTTTTTGTCAACCATCTTCTAATAGTATTATACAAGTAATTAAGGAGTATAATAGATAATTCAGAATTTTGATACGTGTGAAAAATATCAAATGATCAACATTCAACAAAACTGAAAATGTATAGCAAATAAAAACCTTTAAACCAAAATGTTACATCATCCAAATTTTAATTCATTTCACTATTCAAGTTTTATCTTTAAGTTCAATGTTAATTAGTTTAATTTTTTACTGTTTGAAAAGAAAAATAACAGTTTTAACGTGAATGTTCACACGGTTAACCAATTCAATGATAGAAAACCAACATTGAAAATAGGAAGGGGAAAGACTGATGAGGTAGAGAATCGACGAGAGCTTATCGTCCTCATTCGTCTCTCACTCTATAGCACAGAGTCTCTTTTCTTCTTTTCTCTCAAAACCCCTAAAAAAATGGATTCGAATGCTGTAGAAATCCTAAACACAGAAGCTAATTCCGCAGAAGAAGAAGTCGCCATTATCCCTTCTTTTCTACCCATCGCCTCTCTATCTCTCTCCTTCTTTCCCAGCTCCACCCAGTTTCTCATTAACCCCAGATTCTCTCGTCTCTTCTCTCGTCACCCAAACAAGGTTAAGATCCCTACGCAAGCCTCTTCCCTCACCCATCTCTCCCTCTCTTCTCCTCCGCCTTCCAGAATCTCCTTCAAATCCACCATCTCCGCTACCCCTCTCCAGTCCCCTCTCTCCATCGCCCCTCGCCGTCCCGTCGATCCTTCCTCCGCCGCCGCTCTCCGCCGCGCTGCCGTCGTCTGGTTCCGCAATGACCTCCGCGTCCACGACAACGAGTGCCTCAACTCCGCCAACGACGAGTGCGTCTCCGTCTTGCCCGTTTACTGCTTCGACCCTAGAGACTATGGCAAATCCTCTTCCGGGTTCGACAAAACGGGGCCTTTCCGTGCCCAGTTCCTGATCGAGTCCGTCTCTGAGCTCCGGAAGAATCTCCAGGCGAGAGGGTCGAATCTCGTCGTCCGGGTCGGGAAACCCGAATCTGTTCTGGTGGAATTGGCCAAGGAAATCGGAGCCGACGCGATTTATGCTCACAGGGAAGTGTCTCATGACGAGGTCAAGGCGGAAGGGAAGATAGAGACGGCCATGAAGGAGGAAGGCGTTGAAGTGAAGTACTTTTGGGGAAGCACTCTCTATCATCTCGACGATTTACCATTCGAAATCCAAGATTTGCCCTCAAACTACGGAGCATTCAAGGACAGAGTCCAGAAACTGGAGATTAGGAAGACAATCGCAGCACTTGATCAATTGAAAAGCTTGCCCTCTCGAGGAGACGTACAACTTGGCGACATTCCTTCTCTGCTGGATCTCGGCATTAACCCAAGTGCTAGGACCAGCCAGGTTTGTGTTTTCCTGATCCTTGGTTAAGCTTGATTCAGGACTCATCTTCGTTGAAAGGTTCAGAATTTGCCCATTAAACAGATTTCAGTAACGCTATTTGAAAGTCCATCATGGATTAAAAGAACGTTCCTTTTCAGCGCAATGTCATCAAGTTGATGCCTTTTGCACTCTGTGTCTGCTGCTCTTTACACCTATTCTTAGAAGTTAACATTTTGTTTCGTCCAGGAAGGGAAACAGACAATGATTGGAGGAGAGACAGAGGCGTTGAATAAGCTAAAGAGCTTTGCAGCGGATTGTAAAGCACGATTGACCAAGGGGAACCAGAAAGGAGGCAATAACAGTGTGTTTGGTGCTAACTTCTCTTGCAAGATATCACCTTGGTTAGCCATGGGAAGCATCTCTCCTCGTTCCATGTTCGATGAGCTGAAGAAAACAATTTCTGCATCCTCAACTCCAAGGTAAACGATGGGTCTCAGAAACACAACACCTTTGGGAACTCTGGTTGAACGATTTGAACATAGTCTCCAATTACAATACTCTTTGCAATGGTTTTCTCAGGAACGGACCGGGAGATACCGGACTTAACTGGTTAATGTATGAGCTGCTATGGAGGGATTTCTTCAGGTGAGCCTCTTGCTTTCTTCACTTGTCCGCAACTAGTAGAATTTGTCTTTTGTTTGAATCTGGCTTTGATGTGTGTTTTATACTCGTAAACAGGTTTATAACCAAGAAGTACAGCTCGGCAAAGACGCAGCTCGAGGCTGGTCCTGCTACAGCCTGTACCGGCGCTCTTGCTTAAACCTTGAGAGAAATTTTCAGGCGACCGGAATAATTAGATCCAATCTGGTTTTTGTACTACTTTTGGTCTCTGTGAATTTATCTGTGTGCTTTCTAGACAGGACTTAACTGCTCTCTTTTGAATTCCAAGTGTATGGTATGGAGAATGAATTATAATAAAAAACTTTTTTTTCGGCTCAAGTTGTGTTCTCAAGAATTTACACATTTCCGTTCCTTAACTTAAAAAAGTGGAAGGATGATGCATCACTGAATGAAAAGATTTAAACTAACATTCCTAACTATTTTTTATAAACCATAAGAAGTTGAGAACTATAAACACTACTTCAAATGTGTTGTACCTCCTAACTAAAGTTCAAAGTTTCCAAAATAATTTTCCATAACGCTTTATATTTGTAATACATATGTAGCCAACTGCTATGAAAAAGAGAAGAAGGACATGCGTTGGTAATAAGACTTTTTCTTCCTTCTCCTTTTCATTGGTTGCTTCTTCTATATGACGCCTGAAACTTTCAAAGAAGAAAGAACAACAAAGACGAGCCAAAGCATCATGAAATATGCAGAGGTAAGCCAAGCCCACAGCCTTGGACCTCCAAGCTCAGCTCCTATAATCAGCCTTCTCAGCACAAGCACCACGATACATCCCACTGATGTCGCAAAGAATATCAGCAGCGAAAAGCTTAGCCCTTTGGCGTTTTCTATGTATAAAGGCTCTCTGTATGCAAAGTAGTTGTATACTGTGTTTATCAGCCATGGAACTCCAATCCCCACATAGATGTTCACCGAGTTACTGCAGGAATTATCACCAGAAAAAGATCATCAAAAGAATGATCTTTGATATTTGGGAAAGGGTCTAGAGAATTTACCTGCAGGTGATGTTTGCAATGGCTGAGTCTGCGGTTAGTTGTCGCTCTGCAGCGATTTTACTTGCTACTAAATCTGGCCACGAAGTTCCAGCTGCGAGTGCTGTGAATGCTATCACATATGGGTTTATTCCTGCCAACCGAAATAGGAGTTTCAAATGTCAAAGAGCTGTAAATGTTGAATCTTTTTGATGGACTTTTTGAGAGCTTTTGTGTGTGTACCAGTGACACAGCTTATAAGGTCGGTAAGTCTTGTGACGACGAAGGCGACTCCGCTGATGAAGATAAGAGAGCAGATGAAAGCGATCCAACCGTGAGCGATGTTGCAAGGAGGCACGAATGCAAAAAGAATTTTCCAAGGAGTAAGGAGTAATTGCCAAAATGATTTCGCAATTCGAAGATAAATGCTATCAACTTTCTTTGATTCTGAGGTTTCCAACTGTTTGATTAAGAATTGTGAGAGAAACAAAGTTAAGAAAGATGTCTTGATAAATGAAAATCCCAAAAGCACATTCGGAAAGTTGGAATCTTTAATTACCGTAATTGCATCCACGAACTGATGCTTCCAAATGTCAAAAACAGTAGAATTCTTCGGCTTACCCCTCTTAGTCGAAGATCCGGGTGGAGTATCTGCCACTGTATGATAGGTGATCCCTGCACAAGTGTTCGTCAAATTTTGATGTATAACGGATTTGGAAATCACTCTAAAACTGCTCTTATATTAGTAAAAAGACAACATACACAGAAATTAGTACCTGCATCATTGTTAGCAGAATGAATAGAGAAGATATCGACAATGTTTCTGATTCCTGATTCAACAGCGTCTTGAGTGGCATCCGAATACACGTCATGAACATCATTGTCATCTTTCGAAGGATCAATCTCTTCTGGAACCCACTCTTCTGGTCTATCGCCTCTTGACCTTCAATGATCAAATACAAACACCAAGATTCAGTCCTTTCTGAAAATCCATTTTGGATGAAACTAAAAATTATTAGTCCAAGGAAGAAACCCACATTGGTAGAGATAAGTAAGGCCATCTCTTGTCTTGCGCATACGCATGAATGAGAAGTAATCCGTATTGCACTACTGTCAATAGTGCCTCCACGAGCGTAATTACATTTGGTGACCAGACCTGTGACATACGGAAAGAAAGAAACAGCGTTTTAGGCCTCGAGAGTATATTAAGTTCAACAGAACCTATTTAGACCGCTTTTCACACAGTTACCTCGAGGATAATGTATAGCCAAATGTAAGCCCAAAAAGACCAAACCAGCTCGACAAGCCAAACGCCCAAGTCGGATATCTTTTTCAGTTCTCCAGCTTTTGGCATCACAACACAAACAGCATGGATGGGGAAAAGATCAAATGCAGCTGATCCAACAAGTGTTCCAGGACCAAGACCTGTATACATATATATATATATATATATAACATAACATTAACTATAATAGAATTTCACATCCAAGTTCTAGAGTTACTCAATTTTTGAAATGCAAGACGACCAGAAAAGAACAAGACCTCCAGCATAACGCTCCCCGATGTTCCGTATTGCATCAATGGTAGCCAGAGAAATCTGAGGGAAGCTGGTTCCAAAGGCCAACAAACTGATGTCTGCAATAGTAAAGTTCCAAACTTTCCTGTATGTGATGACTTCAGCGTTAGTAACGGGGTCGATCGAAACCACTTTACGCGAGTGTTTGACGACATTCTCCATAGACTTGAAGAACCGTGCAGTGATCGCTGACAAGCCGATAAAGCAGTAGGCAAGACCGAGAAAATAGAAAACAGCCCTCAAACCATCTGACAGACTACTTTCTCCGGGGAATATAAAGTGGCCTTCACATCTTACATGCCCAAGAACCTTGGAAGATTCTTGCAACTCCTGGGTTTGATTTAGAATAGAGGCCATTGAAGCTGATTAAACCGTCCCCGATAAGTCAACTGTACACTTGTTCTCCCTGGGGACACACGAAACGCGACTTGTAACGATTAGAAGAACTTCAAGGATCTAATAGTTCGCAGTATATAGGCGAAACAAACGGAACATGCAATATAGATTTCTTTCCAGAGAATCCGTAACACAAACTAAACACTTGCAAAGGATCCAATGCGCATGTAACATACGAAGCAAGAAGCGCGGAATCTAGTCTGTAACCAAACTAGTGACACTTCCACGCAGTGTATTATTGAAAGAGAGAGTGAAACTGAGGCAGCAAGAACTTAAGGCGCAATCAAAATCCAGAGGTCACCAGATCAAAAGAACGCAACGAAAGATGAAAAATTTCATCGATCGTGAGCTAGTGGTAAACGTAAAATCAAAGTTGGGTTTTATTTATTTTACAAAATTAGAAAGCAAAAACCCCAAATTTATCGAAGACGGTGGAACAGATCACAAGGAAAATAAGAGAGCATGAAGGGAAATCTGATGAAACAGAGTGACCCGCGTGAGGGGGCATAGATGAATGCTAACGTACCGGATCAAAATCTCAGCGAACGGCATTCACAGCCCGCCGGTCACGGGAGAAATTTTCCGATAAACGGAAGGCGAGAGCCGTTGATTGGAACGAGTCAGGAGTTGGATTTTGCGGTGGAGGCTCGTCAGCCATTTATATCTGCAAACACACATCTAACCTCTGCATGACTCTTCAATAATTGTTATCTTACACGGGTTCGCATCGCATCGAGACCCCCACGTGGCCTCACCCTATTGGATACTTGTCGTTGACTAACTAAGATCTGTTTACGTCGCCTTTGTTTTGGTCAGGTTTAAGAACATGAGACCCTTACTTATCAAATTTTAATTAGTTTTTAGTCCCCAAACTTTGTTTTATATCACCCTAGATAGCCATTGCTTTTAAATCTCACACGAGACCAAAAACTATGCTCAATTTTAGATATGTACATATCTGTTAAAAAAACGGATTTAACTCAAGACTACAAAGCCTATATAATAATAATTTATTTATTTTCATGAGAAAAAAAACAAAAACAAAAAAGTAAGATATATATGAACTCATAAGCAATATCCAGTTACAAAAAAAAAAAAAAAACTCATAAGCAAACAAGAATTATAGAGGTACAGTAATAGCAACTAGATATTTATCTGAATTATGGCATTTCACTTGATTTAGCCAATTTGGTGATGTTATGACATTGACATCACTCCACCTTCTTGTTTATCACGTGTGTAAACCAGCAAGTCCAAAATACGTGCTTGTTATTAGTTATTGTGCCACATACTTATTTGTCATCCAATATACACGTCGTAATTGTATATCAACGTTTTGGTATGACATCATTGGGTATAGAAACACGCAATCTCAAATTTGGATCGTGAGTGAATAATGACGATGGGGAACAAAAACGAGAGAGGACGATATCTAAAGAAAGCAAGTATAAAGAGGTTTCGAGATACCAGAGATTTTACAGATGGAGATTAGGACTACTAAATTCAAGTTAACAAGCAAATAACATTTTGATTGTTAAACAAACAGTCAATTGCTGACATTCGTCGGCACCTACATCTTTGTTAATTTTATGTTTCTAAAACAAAAACGCTACATTTCTATCTTTCTGTTTAGTGTTATCGTGTTTTAGTTTTTTTCTGTTGTCTAATTTTTTGATAATCAAAAATGATCCACGCCAAGATTATATATATATATATATATTATATATATTATATATATATACATCATCGAATAACTCACACATGTATATATCTAATTTTTTGTTACAAGAAAATAAATAAAAACTCCATATCTCTCGGAAAGGAAATTATGCTTTTGTGAAAATATGGGCTGGGCTGCCAATTTTTGTTTGGTTTTGAAGACAAAATATACGCAAAATAAAGAAGCCCTATCAATTGTAGTATATAAGGCAAAACCCTAAGGATACTCTTTTGACTCAGCCGTCCGTTTGCAGAAACCATTTGGAGTTGGAGCTCAGGAGGACGACAATGGTAGATCTCCCTTCTCTTTTATTCTTTACGTTTTTATCTTTTCTTGATATCGATTCACTGGGATCTTTTAGCTGTTTGTTCTCGTGGTAGAATCAACGAATTAGGTTTTTTTTATCTTCATCTGCCATGAACTGGTGTTTTACTTCTCATGTTTGCATTATCTTTAGGGACGAACACATCATATTGGTTTCATTTACTTGAGGGTGGAGACGAGCATTACTGACCTGCTTAGGATTTAGGATTTTCTCTTATAGATTTGGTAAAAGAGTGCTAATGGATGAATTTAAGATGTTGCACAGAGAGCAATGGTTTTCTCATATCATTTTACGTCATCTTCATTGGTGACTTTATTTATCTAATCACGCCATGGTTTGGTTTTAGGCCCCAAAGAAAGGAGTGAAGGTAGCTGCCAAGAAGAAGACGGTATGTTCTCGAATTGTTTTGAAGCTTATAGTCTTCTTCTATTATGGTTTCTTTTCTTCTTCCGAAGATTCTTAAGTTTGTGTTATGATATCTGATTTTTCAGGAGAAAGTAACGAACCCTCTATTTGAGAGGAGGCCTAAGCAATTTGGTATTGGTGGAGCTTTGCCTCCCAAGAAGGATCTTACTCGCTACATCAAATGGCCCAAGTCAATCCGTCTTCAAAGGCAGAAGAGGATCCTTAAGCAGAGGTTGAAGGTGCCACCGGCACTTAACCAATTCACCAAGACGCTTGACAAGAATCTTGGTGAGTCTATTGCATCCTTTAATGAAATGTTCGCCAGTTTTGTATATTTTTTGGTTTGGTTTGTGCTGTTGCTTTATATGATTTGGGGAATGATTTACATGCTTTTGTTCTTTTCCGCCCTTAGTTAAGTGCCTGACTCTATCCTGTGTTGATAATTGCAGCAAGCCAACTCTTTAAGATCTTTATGAAGTATAGGCCAGAGGACAAAGCTGCCAAGAAAGAGCGCCTTGTCAAGAAGGCTCAAGCTGAAGCTGAGGGAAAGCCTTCTGAATCTAAGAAGCCTATTGTTGTGAAGTACGGCCTTAACCATGTGACCTACCTCATCGAGCAGAACAAGGCTCAACTTGTTGTCATTGCTCATGATGTCGACCCAATCGAGCTGGTCGTTTGGTTGCCTGCTCTGTGCAGGAAGATGGAAGTCCCTTACTGCATTGTCAAGGGCAAGTCTCGTCTTGGAGCGGTACGCGATATGTTCATCTCGTGATCTAATAAGTTGCACTCACATCTCTTGTTAAAATCGGTGTATTTATGTTTTATTTGTCTCTTACTTGCAGATTGTTCACCAAAAGACTGCTGCTTGCTTGTGTTTGACCACTGTCAAGAACGAAGACAAGCTAGAGTTCAGCAAAATCCTTGAGGCCATCAAGGTATAAAGACTTCTCTTGACAACATAAAGGAGAATCAGCTATAACATATATACTCGACAAGATTCTGATGATGTTTGTTTCTGTTTTTGGTAATACAGGCGAACTTCAACGACAAGTACGACGAGTACAGGAAGAAATGGGGAGGAGGCATAATGGGATCCAAATCCCAAGCGAAGACAAAGGCCAAGGAAAGGGTTCTTGCAAAGGAGGCTGCCCAGAGGATGACCTAAGAAGGATCTTTTTGTGTGTGTTTTCGGTCTTGCCCAAAGTCATTTGCTCAGAGATTCGTAAAACTTGTTAGAGCTTTTTGTTTAGCTGTTTCTTCAAGTACCCTTTTTAGTTGGATCTTTTTGTTTATGGATGTTTTGCACTTTCTTCAGACAGTTTCTATGTTATTCGAGCTAAATCATTTTGGCCACGTTAATCTTGACAATTAAACTATCATCGAAGCTAAATTATCATTGCATTGGATGAATAAAAATTCTCTTGAATTTGTTTACGTAATGTACAATTTTTTTAGTTAACGTTGTTTCGGGGTAGTTTTGTCGAAATTTGGAGTTACAAGGCCTTTTTCGACAAAGGCCAAAATAAGTGGGTTGGCAAAAATTAAAGCTGATACAAAATGGGCTTGGGCTTTTTGAGAGGACGCTAATTTCGGAGTTACAAGGCCTTTTTCGACAAAAGCCAATGGGTTGGCAAAAATTAAAGCTGATAAAAAATGGGCTTGGGCTTTTTGACAGAACGCTGACAGGTTTTTTAAATGATGAATCTATCATATATTTTATCTGAGGTTCCTGCAAGTTCGAATATTTCTGAATTTGGACCTAAATTTATTAATCATCCTTGGACATTGCTGCGATTTGCAAAAGATATAGATTGATTCATCTGAATAGTTTAGTGTTGGAAGGGAGATGGAAGTCACTGATCCAAGCTGGAAAGAAGCAGAAGTTGAGCTCTACACCATCCCTGCTCAATCCAGTATGTCTGCTTCCTTTCTCTCCAATGCCTCCTTCAATTCTTAGGTCTATGTCGTTTCTCTTTGCCTCGCCAAGCTTTCACTGCGTGGAATCGAAGAACATCTTTCTAGTTTTTCTTATTTTGATTTTTAGGGTTCTACTGTCTCGTCGCACTACGAATAGCTTTTCTTTGAGTCCTAGGGTTTGGTTTTCTGAGGAATTTCGTTCCCACCGAAATTGAATTCTGGGGATTTGTGTTGTTGATAGGTTGGTTCTTATGGGATGACATACACGAGATAGAAAGACGCGAATTTGAGGAGTTCTTCAGTGAGAGCTCAATCACAAGAACCCCCAAGGTTTACAAAGAATATAGAGACTTCATTATCAACAAGTACCGAGAGGACACTACCAGGAGGCTGACCTTCACCAGTATCCGCAAGTTCCTCGTGGGCGATGTCAATTTGCTCCGCAAAGTGTTTCTCTTCCTCGAACATTGGGGATTGATCAATTTCGGCTCTGATGCGTCGTTGGTGGAGGTTGAAGAGAAGCATGTTGCTAAGATCGAGCAAGGGAATCCCGCTGGGATTCGTGTTACTGCAGCCCCGAATTCAATGAGGCCTATCACCGCACCGCCCCTTGTTGAGGAAAGAGCTGAGTCTGGTCTCAAATTACCTCCTCTGACCTCTTATTCAGATGTTTTCAGTGATTTGAAGAAGCCTAGTAATGATGGTTTGGTTTGTGGGCACTGCCGAGAACGTTTTGATTCTGATTTCTATGAACATCACAAGGTAAAACTTTGTTTGTTACGGATTAGCATGTTTCATCTCCTCTGCTTCTGGTCTGTTTTCTTAACATTTGATGTTGGCAGCGTGTTGTCAACATATGCCAAAAGTGCTTCAAGAATGGAGACTACGGGGAGAACAATTCCGCGGACGATTTCAAGTTGATTGGGAATGGTGCTGCAGCTGTGTGGACCGAGGAAGAGATCCTCTTGCTGCTAGAATCTGTGCTCAAACATGGAGATGATTGGGAACTCGTTGCACAAAGCGTTTCTACAAAGAGTAGGCTAGATTGCATTTCGAAGCTCATTGAGCTCCCGTTTGGAGAGTTTCTGATGGGCTCTGCTTCTGGAAGACTCATTTCCTCTGTCCCCACCGAGGATGAAAATAGTGGACACCATTCCTCTCCATCCCATCCTGACGGTCAAGAACACAGGGAAACAGAGATGGGGGAAGAAAAGGAAGATCTCGTGGATGAAGATGAGCCTCTTGCAAAAAGGAAACGTGTTGCACTAATCTCAGACGGCGATACTTCACTTATGAAACAGGTTAAGCAATGTGTCTTGTGTTTCATCATTATCTTCTATATGGCTGTAGTATTCGGATTCCTCAACTGTAGCAAAGAGTGCCGTTTCGAATTCAGTGTGATCAAATTTTCAAGAGATAACATCTTTACATATTGTGCAACAGGTCGCAGCAATGGCATGCAGAGTTGGTCCATCTGTCACAACCGCTGCTGCAAAAGCTGCAATTGCAGCACTTTGTGAGGAAGCCTCATGTCCAAAAGAGTTCTTCGAAACCGATGACTACACACATTCAGCACCTGACAGGTTTGATTCTCCATCCCCTCAATTTGCTGATGGCTTTGCTTCTCATGTCGCTGTCAAGACAATTCTAAAACTTTCGCTGTTTCACAGAGCCGATGGAGACAAAGATACAGATATGGAGGAGCAGCAGCAAGGAGGGAAAGGTAACTTTTATCATGGTCGAATTCGTAGAATGAAAGCTCAAGACTTGAGATTTATAATCCTTATAATTATGCAGAGGGGCCTCAGGATCTACCTGTAGCTTTAAGGATAAGAGCGTCGGTGGCAACAGGTCTGGGAGCAGCGGCTGCTCAGGCGAAAATACTGGCTGATGAAGAAGAAAGAGAGATGGAGCATCTAGCTGCGAGTGTAATAGATCAACAGGTTGGTTCAAACAATAAGATTCGATTTGCTCCATTGGCTCAAACAATAAGAGCATCTAGCTGCGAGTGTAAATTTGGTCTCCGTGTCAGTTGTGTTTGTTGTGTCTTGACCCGGACGGTTTTGGAATTGTCTTTCAGCTGAAGAAACTGCAGAGCAAGTTGAAGTTTCTGGACCACTTGGAATTGATAATGGATGAAGAAGAGAGAGTGATGGATGGTGTAAAGGAATCAATTCTCCAAGAGAGGATCAGCGTTTTGCAATACGCGTTCCGTGGCGGTATTACCAAACGTTGGGATCATACATACGTGAAATGATGCTCTCTTTTCGTTTATTTTTTGGGTTTGTTTGGTTGTCTCATTGGTGTAGATTTGTTTGTCCGTAGGAGGATGCTTCAGATTAGTAAGAATCGATTTGCTTTGTTGACTTTTGCCAGACTATTCTCTTATTAAATGTAGAGAAGCTTTCTTGACTTAAAAGAGTAGGTTGGTTTGTTTACATTCATCTTTGTCGATTTGTCTGACCAATGGGATCATGTATGGGTCTCTCTACATTCATACGCTCACTGTGTGACGTCAATCAATTTTCATTTAAATAAAAAGAGATCATTTTCTCATTTGTTTACCATATAGTAGTTCGAAAACATAAATATATCTAAAGGAATGGATCGTGTTAGTCTATAAAATTGGTAACACCGCCTTCAAAATCAAAACCTTTTCCTCGACTCTCTCTGTCAGTTAGAGAAAGCCAGAGATCTCGCTCGGGTCTTCAATGGCAGAACATTCATCAACTAAAATGAGGTCGGAATTCCAATACCATGAGGTTCTCTTTCTCTCTCTCTCTCTCTCTAGTCTCTACTAAGTCCTCAGATCCAGAGAAAGTATTGAAAATGAGAGTAAAATCGTTGTGAGATGAGTCCCGATCATGTTTATTGAAACAGGATTACATAGTAAATTCCAGAGGTGTTGAGTTGTTCACTTGTAGATGGCTTCCATCATCTTCTCCTCCCAAAGCTCTGGTTTTCCTCTGCCATGGTAAATGATCTTCTTCTGTTTTTAAAGATATTTTCTGCCATAAGTAACCAATTAAATGAATTTGATAATTTGTGCAGGTTACGGGATGGAGTGTAGCGACTCCATGAGAGGTATTTAATCTATCTTCTTCCTCCATGCATTGGATCATCTGAATATTTGAAGATAACAAGTAATTAAAGATTTGACACTGCGTAATTAAGTTGCAAATCTTTCATCTATGTGTGGGATCACTGAATATTACAAAATATATATATTTATTGTTTACATTTGATGCATCCAAATTTCATCCAAAACATGTCAATCAAACAACTTTGATTATATTCTTACTTGTACATGTCATTTGAGTTTTTTTTTTTTTTTTGTTCTTAGTGAAATTTGAGTTAGCTAAGCTTATCATGTTAGGACATTTTTGTTTCGTTTCACTGTAGACCTGACAAGCATTTAAAGGTTATGTGTAATAATAGTAGTAGTAAATGCCTCTGAAAAATAAGTCACGGAGGCTGTTAGGACCGGTAGGTCACCAAGTCTTAATTATGTGGTTGGTTTGGGTTGGAGAACGACCCTAGACAATTTTAGGTTATTTAAATGCATTTAGTTTTTGGTTAGAGAGTAAACCGATCTCTATCAAAATCAATTACACTTCACATTTTTTTAAAAAATTTTTAATCTATTAGCTTTCTATTTTTAGTTAGGTGAATGAACACCTTCGATCTATGGCTTGGTGGTTGAGAAAATTCATTCTATTGGTTGTTTAAACTGGCATTGACTCAATACATGTTTCGGTTTTAGAATGCGGAATCAGACTATCTTCAACCGGATACGCGGTTTTTGGTATGGACTATGAAGGTCATGGTCGGTCCATGGGAGCTCGCTGCTACATCAAGAAGTTTAGAAACATTGTGAATGATTGCTATGAATATTATACCTCTATTTGTGGTATAACTTTAACAACATCATTCATCTCTCTTTCTCTCTAGAGTTTGGAGTAATCTCCTATATTATTCTCCACTTTTATTTTATCTATAACTTCTTAATTTTGAGCGATACCAGCGCAAGAGGAGTTCATGGAAAAAGGCAGATTCTTGTATGGAGAATCCATGGGAGGTGCAGTCACTTTATTGCTTCACAAAAAAGATCCTTCTTTTTGGAACGGTGCCGTTCTTGTCGCTCCAATGTGTAAGGTAAAACTGTAAAAGTGAGAGTCTTTGGGAGATATATTGAAATGCATATTTATATATGTGTTATTTATGAATGCAGATATCTGAGAAGGTGAAGCCACATCCCGTGGTGATTAATCTGTTAACTAGAGTTGAAGAGATCATACCGAAATGGAAAATAGTTCCTACAAAAAACGTAATCGACGTTGCTTTCAAGGATCTTGCCAAGCGAGAAGAGGTCTCAATATATTAGTTTTATAGTATAAATAACATCTCTTCATGCAAATTTGGCATAAATGGTTTGGTGGTATATACAGGTCAAAAGCAACAAACTGATTTATCAAGAGAAACCTAGACTCAAAACCGCACTTGAAATGCTTCGGACAAGCATGAACCTCGAAGACAGTCTAGACGAGGTTGGGTTTGACTAAGTTTGCATGAGCTTATATAAGTTAAAACTAATTGGCTCTTATTATAAAACGTATTATTTTAGGTCTCAACTCTAATAAACTCACCCTAACCTAACAAAATCACTTGACCAAGAGCACACGTCAATGCAGAGTCTTTAATCCCCTGATTTGGTAATTTTCGCAGATTACAATGCCGTTCTTTGTGTTACATGGAGAAGCTGATATAGTGACGGATCCAGAGATAAGCAAAGCTTTGTACGAGAAAGCTAGCTCAAAGGACAAGACTCTCAAGTTGTATCCTGGGATGTGGCACGCTCTGACGTCAGGTGAGCCTGACCACAACGTCGATATTGTTTTTGCTGACATCATCACTTGGCTTGACCTTCGAACAGCTGACTCAGCGTCATTGACTGTCACTCCTATACGAGTTACTACCACTGCTAGTGTCCAGAGGGTTATTGTTAACGGCGTTAGCAACGGTCAAAGGAGGCCTAAACGTTCTTACTTCAGTCTGCTTTGTGGTTTGAACGGTGGCCGTTTGGTTCCCCGATCTCCTACGTGAAGTGTAATACTAATGGTTTGATGAGAAGTTTGTTTCTCAGTCAATTTATCTGTAAAAGCGTGAGAGTCGGGTTATATCTGTCACTTGTGCTTCTTTCTGGTTATGTTTTATTTTCGTTTTAATATTTTTCATAAGGTTTTGTTTCATTAAAATGCATTTTTTTCACCTCAAATTTTGTCTCATACAATAAATTGAAGAAACGCAAGGCCTTAAAGGCCATAAAGTTAGAAGTCATATATAACCCAATAAAAAATTGAATATTACAAAGTACAAAAAAACGCAAGGCCTTTACGGCCATAAAGTTAGAAGGCCCAGTGGATTGATAGGCCTATAATTTACACCTATTGTGTGTACTCGTCGCCGTCGTCCTCTTCCGTGTGAGAGATCTCTGGAAAACGGAAGCGAGATTTTATCAGGTAAAACCCTAATTTATTCGATTTGCCTTCCCTGTGAGATCTCTGTTGTCGTGCTGTCCTGAATCTCTTTCGTATTCTTTAATTTTGATTAGGCTCAACGAATCCCGTGAACTTTGCCGAGACGAGCGCGCGACAAGCAAAGATGAGGTATATCTATCTGTTGATGGTTTTTCTGAGCTTTTCTCTCCGTTAGTTCGTCCTCCTGCTTAATTAGATTCTTCTCTCACTCTTGATTGTCTATTTTATCTCGCAGTAGGCCAATGGAAGAAGATGCCAACGTAAGTATATCTTTCTCGAGTTGTGATAAACCCTAATTTAATTTTCAACATTTAGGCAATCTTTTGGCTCTTGAATGCTTGAATAGGAATGAACCGCTGTAACATTAGCACTGAATTTAAGTTGCAAGCTCTCCTCTCCTCTCCTCCTATACGAGAAAGCGTTTAGGGAAGTGTTTGTTTTCGTCGTCTCTGATTTCTTAGAGTTGGGCCTTTTGCAATTGGATGTTGATTGTGTTCTTTATACAGCTCGACCTTGCACTGATTGAGTTCCTTCTTGTATGTTAATCTTTCGGTGTCCTCAACCTCGAGTGTTGTTCATGATGCTTGAAACTGTTGTTAGCAGGGAAAGACTGAGGAGGAGGAGTTCAACACCGGGCCGCTTTCGGTTCTGATGTTGAGCGTCAAGAATAACACTCAGGTATGTATAGAGAAGAGATCGATCGTTTGTTAGGTAAATGTATATGCGAAGAGTGTTTATGTGGTGGTTAGCAAGCTCGAGTTTTGTGTTCAGGTGTTGATCAATTGCCGGAACAACAGGAAACTTCTTGGGCGAGTGAGGGCGTTTGACAGACACTGCAACATGGTTCTTGAAAATGTCAGAGAGATGTGGACTGAGGTAAACTGAAATCTGTTTGTGTATGTAGCTGCTGTACTCGTGTGTCTCAGAATGAATATTGACCTCTTTTTTTCTGGTTTTAGGTTCCAAAAACTGGAAAAGGAAAGAAGAAGGCACTTCCGGTTAACAGGGATCGGTTCATAAGCAAGATGTTTCTCCGAGGAGACTCAGTGATCATCGTCCTCAGGAACCCAAAGTGAGAGTGAGAGACTTAAAAGGGGCATCTTATTCCTTGTTTGTACTCAAAATGATAAAATTCTTGTAGGTATCTTGGCTTTTTTATGCGTCTCGTTTTCGTTAATATTGAAAAACATGACATAAGTTTGACAAGGATCTTTTTGGGGATGTTTTGCCCGTAATCGGCATTTGTGTTGAGTATACCTGTGCGCATGGCCAGAGCACCAAACTAGGGTAATTGCATTAAAACCAAAATCAAACAAAAAAAAAGGTTTAAAATCGGTGAGGTCCGATCTCCGCTACATTGACAGGAGAAGCAAAATGAAATAACAAAAAGGTAAAAATGGAAGGAAACTCTGTTTTTTGTTATGTAGGAGGAAGGAGCTACTTATTTAATTATTCTGTTGATGAAGAAGAAGTTGAAGTCTGTTTTTGGTCGCCAAAGACACGTTGACGGAAATCTTTGACCATAAGAGGGAGTCCTTGGCGTAGAGCCACCTTGGGTTCCCAACCAAGAAGCTCTTTAGCCTTTGTGATGTCCGGCTTCCTCTTGTGTGGGTCGTCCTCTGTGTTTGGTCTAAACTCTATCTTTGCGTTCGGGTCTATCGTCTCTTGAACCACCTGCGCACCCACGAGTGAGTTTCTCAAACAAAATACTCTTTGAGGTGAATATACATTGTAACAACAGAGTAGAGAGAAAGAGACCTTAGCAAGCTCGAGCATGGTGAATTCACCAGGGTTACCGAGGTTGAATGGCCCCACATGTTCTCCTTCCATCAACCTCATCAGACCCTCCACCTATCACATGACATTTCACTTTCAAGTTATCACCACTCTTTCGGTCATGTTGAATGATATTTATACTATTTCATTTCCAAAGTTAATGCCACATTGTGTACAACTAAACCATTTTATTATATGGTCTTAGGCAATCCCTTTTTCTACATCAAGTTAGTGAATCCCGATCACAAATCTTAGCCCTTGAGAGTTGTTTTGCGCTAAATAGAACAACCATGTCAAAACTGAAGAAGTATATACCCCATGAAAGTAACAATTAATCCAAAAGGTGCTAGATTTGAACTTTTCTTTGCTTTTACTATTCAATTATCAATTGTGTATATATACTTTGGGAGGAAAAAGTAAAAGGGCTTTACCAGATCAGAGACAAACTGGAAACTCCTTGTCTGCTTACCATCACCATAAACAGTCAATGGCTCTTTTCTTAATGCCTGCACAATCATTCCCGTTTTCATTACTTTAATAAAGTAACCAACAATCAATCCCTTTCATTAGTTGATTGATCTAACTCAATTATGCCATTACTATTAAATATAAAAAAACCCCCACCTGCGCAACGAAGTTGCTAACCACACGACCGTCATCGATGCACATCCTTGGGCCATAAGTATTGAAGATCCGAGCAATCCTAACCTGTTTGTAGTACAAGTTTTATTATTACAAATCTGTATGTGTATATTTTGCTATCAATGAATATGATGAGGAACAAAAATTAGTAAAAAAGAAAAACACATACCTCAACATTAGCGCCTCTGTGGTAGTCCATGGTCAAAGTCTCCGCCGTACGTTTGCCTTCGTCGTAACAACTCCGAACACCTGTTCCAATATTTAATGCCATATCACAAATCCAATTCAATAACACAACTCTCAGTAAGTAGCATATTTCTCTGACAAAAATAATCCTAATGTGAGGTGCCAAGGGCAAAAACGTCAAATTTAGGAGACGGAAATGTTGTGTGTGGGCGCGTCTAAGAAAAGGGACACGTCCCAGATCCCGTACGATGAAGGGACCCACTACAAACGGTTTGACCAGAGCTTAGCGGAAAGGAAGCACATGAGCCACAAAGGTCAAACGTACGCTCTCCCCTAACGTGCGCCTTTTGTGGACACACGTAATGTTAGGAATTAGGAAGAAAACAAAAAAGCAGACAGAGAGAGAGAGAGAGAGAGAGAAAGTCTCGAAATGGCGCCGTGTCAAAACGTTACGGAGGTGAGAAACAGCGACGCGCGTTTTCAGATTTTCCGATGAAGAAAGCACCAAGGCTCAGGCCAAATAAAATAAAATAAAAAACCAATAAAGGAGAAAGGAGATTATACCGATGGGATTAACGTTGCCCCAGTAAGTCTCAACCTGAGGGTGCTGCAGGGGATCTCCGTACACCTCACTGGTACTCGTCAGGAGGAATCTGGCACCGACTCGCTTCGCTAGACCCAACATGTTCAATGTTCCCACCACGTTCGTCTTGATGGTCTTGACCGGGTTGAATTTGTAGTGAACGGGAGAGGCCGGGCATGCCAAGTGGTAGATCTGGTCAACCTCCAGAAGGATAGGCTCGACGACGTCGTGCCTGATGAGCTCGAAATTTGGGTTTCCGAAATGGTGCATCACGTTTTCCTTACGACCCGTGAAGAAATTGTCGACGACGATCACGTTGTCTCCTCTCGCCATCAACCGGTCCACCAGGTGAGACCCGACGAACCCGGCCCCACCGGTCACCACGACCCTTAGCCCTTTACGTTTCAGGCCCAGGGGGATTTTCCCCCCCACCGATCCGATCCGGCTCATGTACTCGATGCTCGGTTTCCTCTGCGCCGGGACATACGACGACTCCGATCTCATTCCGTACCCGGAGAGCGGATCCGCGTAGGGGCTCGGTCGGTCTGAGGATCCAGAGAAGATTGTGAAACCTAATGTGGCGATTGCAATGCCGACGAGAACGAAGACGAGTCTCTGTTCCCGGAGCATGTAACGGATCGGACGAATCGCTACGAACCACGGCTTCGTTTGCTTCCGGTGGTAAGCCTGCGCATCTGGCTGCTCCGTCTCGTGTCCTCGGTATGTCAGCTCAGACGCCATCTTCTTCACCAATTGAAATCGGGAATCAGCGATGGAACTTTTGGATCCAGGATCGAGATAAAGAGAGAGGGAGATGAATCGAATGAGAAATTCTCGGAATGTCTTTGATTTCCCGAGTCGAACTCGCCGGAGACTGAGTCGACCTTTAGGACGGGAGTGAAAAGCGAATGGGTTTTCTGTATTTAACTAGAAGACGCGTTACTGTTTTAACCCTCGCTCTTCACTTTTATTACTACAATACCCCTGCACTTAGTAGGGTCTCTCTCCTCTTTTACGGTTTCACCTTTTCTTTTTTTCTCCTTTAGGCGTTTTTCAGGTTGGAAAAGTAAACTCTTTTTCAGGTTTCGCCTTCCTTGACTAATTACAGTTTTATCAACAACAAAAACAAAAAAAAAAATTGTCTTTACAAAATTAAATAAGCATCATTAATTTACGGTTATGTATTTATTACTTACTTTATCATAAATTATATAATTACTGGCTTTTATTTGGCAAGTACTGGTTTTTTCTATGCATTTTAAAATTTCTGCATAATTAAGTTATAACTTATGTTATTCATTGTCATTAAGAACAACTGAACTAATTTTTCTAAAGCTTACTCTCGAATTTGAATTGGAAACTGTCGACACTAACAAACCAGACCATTCACTCCAAAAAAAAGTCTACTACATTTTTGGTCTGAACACGCTGCCCATCAAATTAATAGCACTGCTGGTTTTGTTATTGAGCATGAAAGTGCTTAAATTCAAGCTTTCAGCATATTTACTAATTAGTAAATAGTAAAGTAATGTATATATATATGGAAATTGAATGCATTATGAGCACAGATAATTTAGTCTTTCAAAACCTTATAGTTGGACAGAATTCTTAATGTGTATTAAGTCAATGTCTTTGATATGTACTTTACTTAGCCACACCATTTTTTTTTTTTGCTAATGATTTAGCTATTTTTTATGAATTGCAATTTAAACATTTTTTAGAAGCTGTCCATTTGAGTTTTAACACTATCCTTAAAATTACTAAAGTGGGCAATAACACTTCCTAACATTATGAAAGCAATTGTTTTGTGTTTTCTTTTATTGTGAAAAAGTAGTAACTAGAACTTTTAGTTCACTGAATTTGGCAGGTAAGTTTTGTTTCTTACTTTGAATAATTGCATCCACTAAAATGACAATATAATCGGATCCAACAATCCCTTTTAGTTATAATGACCATTAAAGTCCAAATATTATAGAATTGTGCTAGTGAATTTTGCAGATGATCCGCTTATAACTAAGGTACAATATATACTTATTAATCAGCCTTTAGTTCGTATAAAATTACAGATTCGTCGGAGGTTTCCAGGTTATATATCAACCTAGTAATTAATAGTTTTAAATTTGGTATAATGTTGGTACGCCGGATTAGAACTTCTAAACTTCTGTTGTAATTAAAAACAAGATAGAGTATTATACTAGAGTTCATAAAGTAAAGTAATGTTGCATTGAGAAAGTCAATAAGCGCCTAATTGGCACGCAAAACCAATTTGATGACAACTTTGAGTGATTTCAACGTTCATTTGTTTATGAAGAAACCTATTTTTTTTTCCATTAATATTTCACCTAACGAATACTAGTATATAAGTATTCCACAAAAAGGCTAAAACGATGGAATATAGTGGTATTGAACGTTTAATAAATAATATTCATAACGTTTTATTTTTTTTGTTAAGAAACGTGACATACAAAACGTTTAAGTGGAAAAAAAATGTGAACCTTGGTCTTATTTTATACCGACTTTGTATTTTTAGTACAAGCATATTGTACAAATATATTTTATTATACTAAATTTATAACTAGTTTAAACAGTTTTTAATTCATTTAATAAATTGTAGTTGTTTAGTATTTCAAGTTTGTTCAATTTATAATTTGTCTGTTGTTCTAGTGATTTAGCTATTAATTTGACATCTCTCAACAAACTTATATTCCTTTCACCAGAAAAATGTTAGTTCACTTCCAATAAGTTTAAAATTGAGTATTCTGTTATAACTCTTTCTTTCTAATTAATACACTAAAATAACAAGGTTAAAACTGGATATTCTGTTATAAATTTGCATTGCAAATCTAAAACGACACTTTTTGTGAAACAAAAACAAAACTCTAAAACGACATTCTTTATGAAACTGAGAGAGTATATATTTTTAAAAATTTAACCATGGTTGGCCAAATAGTGACGATCCAACACACATGCATACATAACCCGGATTGGCAGAAATTTGATTATGATTTCATTTCTATAATCTAAAGACATTTCTTAAATATGATTTTGAATATAGTCAAGGGTCCGGTTCGTGTTACTTTTTTTATACTGAAATCTCAAGAAAGAAAGAAAAATCAATCAAACCAAGTTTAAGTTTATTTCAGATCAGACAAATTTGGACTCAAACTTGTAGTCAATAAATGCAACTCGCATTTGAATATTATAGAAAATTTAATATACTTTTGATAACATACTAAATACTAGTATGTCATTAGATCCCAGCAAGAATATTCTTCTACGCCTTGAATCATTTATCCCAAGTTAACTTATGTGCAATATAGTAATACGATAGTAAATATTTTATGCTGTTTCGGTTTATGTAAGTGCATCGAATCAGCAGAGTGTGGGTAAAAACACTAATAACCGGATTAATAATTTGTCGTTAAGAGTAACGTTGTGTGTTTGGCATTACTTTATTCCCTAATTATGAGAGAGAGAACAATAGAAAATGACGAGAAGAGAGAGAGGAGGAGGAGGAGAGAGGGTCGCACGTCGGAGAAGACAGCACAGGTGACGGGAATTGGGCCGTTGACTCAGAATGAACGCCACGTGGAGCTCTGTTATCATCTCCCACGTTTTCTGCACTCTGCTTTGCCCCGTTTTGGAGCGTCTTTGAGCCTAGACGCCACTTTCTCTTATTCTTTCCTTTTTCGCTAATTATTGCAATTGCCACTTTATCATGTACTCTTTTTCTTTTTAATCATAGATTAAATACAGATAGCAACACAACAAAATAGTGGTAGCAGTGAAAACCACCATATTTATATAAAGAAATTATAATAATTAGAATACGACACCAAACTTTTATATATTATATTGTTGGCTACCCAAAAAAAAAAACTATTTATGTGCAACGTCCATGGGAACAACGATTTAAATTATTGAATTTAAGTTAAGTTAATTACTATGACTATATTTAGTCGAATATATGTATAGCAGACAGAAACAAATGATGTGGTTGATGTACTACTGAACGTATGAAATTGATGAATGCTTAATCATTATGTTTGGTAATGATTGCAGTGGAGATGTACGTGAGTCGTGACAAGGGCTTGGCTTTTAGAGTTTGGAATTGGATGGATGTACTGTGTTTCTTCCTTCTCGTTATTTTCCCTAAAATGATGCTACCTTTTTTCTGGTTACTTTAGAAAGCATCAAATACGTTAGTTGGTTGAGATCAATTTCATAATATTAGAAGTTTGATGCATTTAGCTCCATATTTTATATGATACATGGAATTAGTAAAATTGTGGTAAATGGGCTGTACTACTACACGAGTGAGGTTATACACTACTTCTCTTTTCTTTTGTATCTTTAGGGCCGTTAAAAAGGGAAAGAAATGACCAGATTTAAGAAATATGGATCCCAACGTAGTAGGCCTTCAATTTCTCAAACATTATAAGCCCATCATTTCTCGAATTTGGACTTTCATTAGTAAAGCAAACAATCCTCCCACTCTGAAATTTTTGATAAAATAAATATTCGCCACAATAATTGAAAATTTCAAATCATCACATTCCGATTCCATAGATGTGAACATATCCTCACCCAAAGAAAATTCGATACTTCCAAGATAATTTATCGATCACTATATACGTCGGTGGAATGAAGAAACCATCAAAAAGGAATATAATAATAAATCATTAGATGGATTTTCTGAAATGTAGTTGAAAATAACATTTTTTTTTTTATTGTTTGTCAATTGCATTAAGGGAAGCTACGAAATGGCAAAACGGTTGGATATAGATCACGAGTTCGGTTCTAGTGATCAAACATTATATATACAAAACAAAAACGAAAATTAAAAAAAGACATCAGTAAAATAAAAAATGAAATACCGAAGCCAAACGGAGTAATTATGATGAAATAATAAATTCATGATATAATCTCCACGAGTTGTTATTATTCAGCGGACCACAATCAAATTATATTATTGAGAGTGTAAGAAGACAGAAGAAGTATATATATATATATATATATGTGTGTGTGTGTATCAATAATGAAAACGTAGATTACAAGCCATCATAAGCAAGCTTGTTGAGGAGAGCCAGAGCGTTGCTGCATAAGTGCATACACCTTGTAGCCCTCCTCCGAATCATCCTGACCGTCGATGATTTAATGGAGGCCTCCTCAAACCCATCTAGACACGTGTCCTCATTCGTGAGTGCAGCGCTTAGCCACGTGGCGAGATCGCTTATCTGCCGCTGAAACTCATCGGCGTCCAGTTTCCGGAGAACGGCGAGCGACTTGTAGAGATTGTCGAGCGAGTCCACGAACAGCTCTCGGCAGTCCGATAACGCGACTCTCTCGCGTTTCCCAACCGCTGAATCCCGCGTTTTGAGCAAGAGTCTTAGGATCTGCTTCGTGTCCGTTATGGTCACCGCGACGCCAGCTCGGGCCCACTTGCTCGAGTTGTTTTTTGCGACGATTGCAAACGGCCACAGCGTTCGCACGCATAGGTTTTGGTATCGCGTTACGCTGCACGCGTTTTTAACGTATCTGTTGTATCGCGTTACGCTGTACGCGTTTGTGTCGTCTGTGTGGGTGCGTCTGGAGGCTAACGACGGGTTTGGGCTTAGTGCCAGAAGGAGAGCGAGAAGAAGCGTAAGCGTGATACAAGAATTCATGTGTTTTGTTTCGTTTCAAGAAATATCCAAACTGTAAGAAATTGGGACGATACTTTAGATTTTGGGAGAGAGAGGGGGATCATATATATATATATACACTCACATGTGAATTAACTTTTAAATTTTGTTCAATTAATTATTAACTTTTAACCTTTTAATTAAGATACTAGGACGTAAAATTGAAGTTTAGGACATGGGGCGGTACATTTGTAGGTATCGTTGTAACCATTTCAAACGATTAAGCATTATATCGATGGTTTAAGTCTTTTAGCCATTTTCGGGTTTATTTATGTCTATGGTGTAGTCTTAAATTTTCAGTTTTATTTTCTTTTACCATTTTAAGTAGAACTACCACAACCTCCTAAAACTAGACTTAAAGATATTTTGAATTGATTGACGTTGGTTTTGGTTTTTTACCCTTTTCTGTGACATTCTCCGAAATAAATTAAAAATGAAAATTATTACAGGTTAGAAAATCAACATCGCAGAATCATACAGAGTTTATTAAGCGAAACAAAGCTTAGCTCAATCATAAAAC